GTGGAACTCGGGTCTGGTAACATATACCAACCTTGCAAGTAATTTGCCGCCCTGTGCCTGTGGTTGCTTGGCGACACTTTTCCCACATCCGAGCCTATATCCGTAATCGGTAGATGGTTCTGTGTTTCACACCTGTTTGTCCTAGCTAATCAGCCTCGCAATATGGGCAGTGTGGAGCGTTTGTGCGCAAACATTGACATCATGTTTGTTTTTGATTTTGAGGGGGGTGGTAGCATCTAACAATTTGGATTTAATTATTTATTGTGCACTGCTCGGCGCCGCAAACGAGGACCTCCTAATCAGAACAGTCTACAGATTACGTACATACCTTCCAATGCTAAACAGGTAGTCATTTGCCGCATCCTTAACTAGAACGCTTTTCCAATGTTATGAGATAAGACAGAATGTTACTGTATAATAACTGTACTTACTGTTATTAACTGTATACATGAGGATGGCGAGCTCTGTAGGACTACCTCAGCACCCTGACTGTATCAGGTAGTGCAAACAACAACGTTATTTCACAAGTCTTACAGTGACCTTATACCAGAAGAACAAATACAGTGGAGTTGTTTACTCTACTGAACACAAGCGACATTTAGCTACATATTTACTGTAGTTTCACACTTATTAAAAATGTTATTTACATTTCATTCATTTAGCAGACGCTCTTATCCAGAGCGACTTACATGAGCAATTAGGGTTAAGTGCCTTGCTTAAGGGCACATCGACAGATTTTCCACCTAGTCGGCTCGGGGATTAGAACCAGCGACCTTTCGGTTACTGGCACAACGCTCTTAACCACTAAGCTACACTTCTGCAGCAACTGATGTGTTTGTATTTTAAAGGGTTACTTCGGGATTTTGGCAATGAAGCCCTTTATCTACTTCCCCAGAGTCAGATGAACTCATGGATACTATTTTTATGTATCTGAATCTAGTATAAAGGAAGTTGGAGGTAGTTTTGTGAGCCAACGCTAACTAACATTAGCGCAATGCTTTGAAGTCTATGGTATCTACTAGCATTCTAGCAGTTACCATAGACTTCCAGTTACTGCACTAACGCTAGTTAGCAAATGCGTTACTGCTAGTTAGCAACTTCCTTCAAACGCAGAGACATAAAAATGGTAATGAGTTCATCTGACTCTGGGGAAGTAGATAGTGTGGTCCTCTGTAGCTCAGCTGGTAGAGCACGGCGCTTGTAACGCCAAGGTAGTGGGTTCGATCCCCGGGACCACCCATACACAAAAATGTATGCACGCATGACTGTAAGTCGCTTTGGATAAAAGCGTCTGCTAAATGGCATATTATTATTATTATTATTATTATTATTATTATTAAAGGGCTTAATTGCCAACATTCTGAAGTATCACTTTAAGTGATAACCACATTTGCAAAGTGTGTATCTCTCTCACACTCACAGACAGACAACTCAAGTTTAGGCTTAAATAACCTCACTTGGGTCAAGGAATATAGGATAAAGTCATGAGCAGACAAAGACTGAACAATGTTGTGCAAACCAGCTTAAAAGTTATTATTAGGGGAGGTCTCAACATTATGTAACCTAACCTAAAATAAAGAAAATATGGTACCCTAATATTCAGCTATTTATAAGTACATGGTCCTAGTAGAAGTAGTTCGCTATGCTTTGGAGGACCAAAAAAGTTTTCAGCATTGTTTGGAGAAAAGCTACATGCAGGGCTCAAATACTTAGTCAGTCTGCCTACCCTCTTCCTTTCCTTCTGAGGTTTCTGTTTCTCACCCTGTTTTCTAGCTAGAGGATGCACCCTTAGTCAAAACTGGCAGTGACAGGCCTGTGTGTACCCCACTGCACTGCAACCTATTTGCTAGAGGCAGGAAAGTTGCTGTCACCAGTTGCTGTAACCAAGCAGCTAGCCTCACTCTCCACAGGAACTCAGGATGATGTCATAGCCCCGGGCTGTAGGGCTTTAGACATACATTCACCCATCATTAGATCACAACTGGAAGGAGATGCAAGGCCAAGGAGAAGTTGTTGCCCTACCTAAAATGATTCAGACTTGCCTTGAGTGACCTAGATGGGTCAGCTCAATCATTTTAGACGGAAGCCACATTTTGCTCTGATAACCAAAACAGAGTGAAATGTTTAGGCTAGATGACTAATCTTTGTATAATTTGTCCCTGTACGTGCAACAAGTTTAAGGAAGAAACCTGTAAGGCAGAAACTAAAGGCCAACCTCTGCCCACACAACCAGTTAGACTAGTTAAATGGCTCAAGTATTGTCTTATGTTGTAAGGTCTATTGATGCCAATTGCTTTCACCACTCCCTAGCCTAAACTGTAGTGTAAGATGGGTAGTTGGCCTACAGTAGCATGGGCTAGAAACAGTTTGCCGTTACTTCAGTTAACCACACACAGACGAGTCAGCAAGAATAAAGCTACTAGACTAGTTGGAAATGTTTAAAACTAGGCCCACAGAGGAAACCAACTGTCTGACAAGCCTAATATCTAGCCTGTCTTCTGTGCAGACAGATACAGCATATTAAACGCATCAGGGATTTATGCTGACCTTTTTTACAAGGAGCACGTTTGCACCTAAGTTGAAAAATGTAGGCGCACAAAAATAAATGTAGGAGCACAATGAAAGATGTTTGAGGTAATAAAGGTAAAACCCTTAATTTTTCTAGGCGCACCGGTGCTCCTAAATTAAATTTCCATATCGCACAGCAAAATATGAAGGCGCATATGCAAGTAAAATGGTCACACTGTAGAGCCCTGCACATACAATCCAGTCTTTAAAATTGTGTAAGTGAGTAGCCTTGACAGATCATGTAAAAGTGAATTGTTTGCTAAAGCTTCCAGGGCAAAATGTAGGACTGGTCAATAGCAATGCCCAAACCCTTTCACTTTCTAGAAGTGTGCTCGGCATAATAAGTGCAGCAGTCAGTCACAGATAAGAGGCAGGCCTACAGGTTAAATTGCTTGGAACTGTTCCTAATGTCCTATAAGAGGAAATAGTTTGTCCTAACCTGTCACACTGCTGTAACAGTTGAGTGCTGAACACCTACAGCATTTTGATATAGGTTAGGCCTAGTAAAATCTTTAAAAATCTTGGTACTTTAATTGCTTATCACTGGGAACATTCATCCTTTTACCCCTCTGCAGTTTGTAATGGATGTAATTGAATGAGTGTGATGGGAGCACATGACTCTGCAGCCACAGCGAGACAGTGGTGTATGTGTGCGCGCACGCTCTTTCACCAGTAAGGGTCAAGGACCCACTCACTTCACATAGGCTAGCCTATTCCACACGTCACACTTGGTTGGCCTGGGTGGCTACTGGCTAGCAAACTTGTGTTAGCAAACAAGCAACCAAGTAGCCTCACTCACCTGGCTGTCGCTGTGTCTGCTGAATTTCAAGGTAAATATGTCTTCAGAAGAAGGTCTTTGTATTAGAACAGCACTGCTATTCATTCAACAGTCACCGTAACAGGTCTTTGAGTTGAACAACCAGCCTAAGGTCATGACTACAGCGTGAGACCACGGCTTGTAGTCTTGATAGGCTTCATATGAGATTTTGTTCTCCAGTTAGGCTGTGTAAGGTTTCGGTTCAGCATTTTATCTAAAGGCCTAGCCTATTCCTGTCTGGTCTTTGGAATTCCTGTAAAGCAAGTTACAGACTTGAAATAGCTTTTTACTCCATCAGTGCACTGACTCTCGGCAGCCTATTCAGGTCAAAGTGATGACTCTTGTGGCGATACTACTGACGCTCAGCCAAAACCTTGGTCACCCAAAACAGGTTTGATTTGATCTTGTCAAGATATGAGAGTCAGGATAAACAACTAGGCTATCACATGCTAGGTTTTGCCTACAGCTCTTGTAAGAGCAGAAAAAACTGCAGTCCTCAAACAGGAATCGTGCGTAACAGTGTCTAAAATTGGTATATCATCCTCTAAATCTTCAAAACAAAGTGAAGAGCCAAGGCCTGTTTTGTTAAACTGATAGGCTTACTTCAGTGAGTTTTGAGTTGTTCAGCAAACGTTAGACCTAAGTGTAATTTGACTGATGAATCGACAATATCCATTTCAGATGACATAGGGCTTTGAGGCACAGTGAAATGTAAGGCTTGTGTACTCTTGTCAGCTAGGTGACTCCTGAGTGGCCACTAGAGATCCTGGTTCGAATCCAGGCTCTGTCGCAGCTGGCCGCGACCGGGAGACTCATGGGCGGCGCACAATTGGCCCAGCGTCGTCCAGGGTAGGGGAGGGAATGGCCGGCAGGGATGTAGCTCAGTTGATAGAGCATGGCGTTTGCAACGCCAGGGTTGTGGGTTCGATTCCCACGGGGGGCCAGTATATATAAAAAAATATGTATTCACTAACTGTAAGTCGCTCTGGATAAGAGCGTCTGCTAAATGACTAAAATGTAAATGTAAATGTGACTAGCGATTGTGGGATAACTTGGCAAATAGGGGTGTTCACTTTTAATATGATCCAGTGAGTCTGGATTTCTAGCGTCTTGGTTAGTCCTGAAAGGTGATAATTGGCAATTAATCTGATAATGCTTCTTCACTAGATACTGGGTCTCCCGAGTGGCGCAGTTGTCTAAGGCTGTACCACTAGAGATCCTGGTTCGAATCCAGGCTCTGTCGTAGTCTGCCGCGACCGGGAGACCCATGGGTCGGTGCACAATTGGCCCAGCGTCATCCAGGGTAGGGGAGGGAATGGCCGGCAGGGATGTAGCTCAGTAGAGCATGGCGTTTGCAACGCCAGGGTTGTGGGTTCGATTCCCACGGGGGGGCCAGTATAAAAAAGAATGTATGCGCTCACTAACTGTAAGTCGCTCGGGATAAGAGCGTCTGCTAAATGACTTAAATGAAATAAATAAATTAAATGAAAGTTACCCCCTTCTTAAATGCAGAATGTTAGGCCTATGTAGGCTAGGCCTAGGCTATATGCTTCTATACCATAATGACAATCCAACTGTACTGAAATGCATTTGTTGTGTGTTGTTTCATCCAGGGCTGCAGCAGCAGGAGGCTGAGCAGAAGACTACACTGCACTGTGAGGCGAAGCAGTGGACAGAGGGGCAGAGCGCTGGCCCCTGGGGCTCCTGGCTAACCATGGATGACACCTCCTCTCTGGGCAAAGTGAGCGGCTCCACTGAATCCGTGGCCACCGTCACCAGTGAGGAGTTTGTGCTGGTGCAGCCGTCAGCCGGAGGATCCCCCTCGGGCTCAGAGGGCAAGCCCAGACTCAAGGTGGGCCTCAGACACTCAAGACATACACACACATATCTATTCATTTGATCAGTCACACAGACAAAACACGCACGCACACACACATGTAATTGTAACAAACGGATTACTTCTATTGATTATTCCTATATAATTAATTGCTCTAGAAAGCAACTGTCCATTCTGAAAGCCAAACTAGTTCACACACTACACAGGGTTTCACCTCTCATACACTTCCTTTCCTTAGATGTCCTGCAATGGGAACGAACAGCTTGAGAGAGCCATGGAGGAGGTGCTGGATGACGACGTGGTGAAAGAGGAGAGGAGTGGAGGAGCAGCAGAGGAGAGAACAGAGACTTTTCAGGACTCATTGACCTCCACAGCCCCCGGGCCACAGACATGTCCCCAGGGCTTTGTGCTGGACCCCACACCTGCAGGTACTGTCTGCACTGAACCTCTCACCCCTTAGGGCAATGAATCAGTTCATGATGTATGGAAAAGTTAACGCATGAGCATTTCAATGTACAGAGTCAGACACGTCATATCGAAACATCTATGTAGATTATATATATATATATATATATATATATATATATATTTTACAAACTCAGCAAAAAAAGAAACGTCCCTTTTTCAGGACCCTGTCTTTCAAAGATAATTTGTAAAAATCCAAATAACTTCACAGATCTTCATTGTAAAGGGTTTAACCACTGTTTCCCATGCTTGTTCAATTAAACATAAACAATTAATGAACATGCACCTGTGGAACGGTCGTTAAGACACGCTAACAGCTTACAGACGGTAAGCAATTAAGGTCACAGTTATGAAAACATAGGACACTAAAGAGGCCTTTCTACTGACTCTGGAAAAACACCAAAAGAAAGATGCCCAGGGTCCCTGCTCATCAGCGTGAACGTGCCTTAGCCATGCTGCAAGGAGGCATGAGGACTGCAGATGTGGCCAGGGCAATAAATTGCAATATCCGTACTGTGAGACGCCTAAGACAGCGCTACAGGGAGACAGGACGAACAGCTGATCGTCCTCACAGTGGCAGACCACGTGTAACAACACCTGCACAGGATCTGTACATCCGAACATCACACCTGCGGGACAGGAACAGGATGGAAACAACAACTGCCCGAGTTACACCAGGAACGTACAATCCCTCCATTACTGCTCAGACTGTCCACAATAGGCTGAGAGAGGCTGGACTGAGGGCTTGTAGGCCTGTTGTAAGGCAGGTCCTCACCAGACATCACCGGCAACAACGTCGGCTATGGGCACAAACCCACCGTCGCAGGACCAGACAGGACTGGCAAAAAGTGCTCTTAACTGACGAGTCGCGGTTTTGTCTCACCAGGGGTGATGGTCGGATTCGAGTTTATCGTCGAAGGAATGAGCATTACACCGAGGCCTGTACTCTGGAGCGGGATCGATTTGGAGGTGGAGGGTCCATCATGGTCTGGGGCGGTGTATCACAGCGTCACCGGACTGTGCTTGTTGTCATTGCAGGCGATCTCAACGCTGTGCGTTACAGGGAAGACATCCTCCTCCCTCATGTGGTACCCTTCCTGCAGGCTCATCCTGACTTGACCCTCCAGCATGACAATGCCACCAGCCATACTGCTCGTTCTGTGCGTGATTTCCTGCAAGACAGGAATGTCAGTGTTCTGCCATGGCCAGCGAAGAGCCTGGATCTCAATCCCATTGAGCACGACTGGGACCTGTTGGATCGGAGGGTGAGGGCTAGGGCCATCCCGCCCCAGAAATGTCCGGGAACTTGCAGGTGCCTTGGTGGAAGAGTGGGGTAACATCTCACAGCAAGAACTGGCAAATCTGGTGCAGTCCATGAGGAGGAGATGCACTGCAGTACTTAATGCAGCTGGTGGCCATCTGGCAGATACTGACTGTTACTTTTGATTTTGACCCCCCCTTTGTTCAGGGACACATTATTCAATTTCTGTTAGTCACATGTCTGTGGAACTTGCTCAGTTTGTCTCAGTTGTTGAATCTTATGTTCATACAAATATTTACACATGTTAAGTTTGCTGAAAATAAACGCAGTTGACAGTGAGAGGATGTTTCTTTTTTTGATTAGTTTATATATATACATACAGTGGGGAGAACAAGTATTTGATACACTGCCGATTTTTCAGGTTTTCCTACTTACAAAACATGTAGAGGTCTGTAATTTTTATCATAGGTACACTTCAACTGTGAGAGACGGAATCTAAAACAAAAATCCAGAAAATCACATTGTATGATTTTTAAGTAATTAATTTGCATTTTATTGCATGACATAAGTATTTGATACATCAGAAAAGCAGAACTTAATATTTGGTACAGAAACCTTTGTTTGCAATTACAGAGATCATACGTTTCCTGTAGGTCTTGACCAGGTTTTCACACACTGCAGCAGGGATTTTGGCCCACTCCTCCATACAGACCTTCTCCAGATCCTTCAGATTTCGGGGCTGTCGCTGGGCAATACGGACTTTCAGCTCCCTCGAAATATTTTCTATTGGGTTCAGGTCTGGAGACTGGCTAGGCCACTCCAGGACCTTGAGATGCTTCTTACGGAGCCACTCCTTAGTTGCCCTGGCTGTGTGTTTCGGGTCGTTGTCATGCTGGAAGACCCAGCCACGACCCATCTTCAATGCTCTTACTGAGGGAAAGATGGCCAAGATCTCGCGATACATGGCCCCATCCATCCTCCCCTCAATACGGTGCAGTCGTCCTGTCCCCTTTGCAGAAAAGCATCCCCAAAGAATGATGTTTCCACCTCCATGCTTCACGGTTGGGATGGTGTTCTTGGGGTTGTACTCATCCTTCTTCTTCCTCCAAACACGGCGAGTGGAGTTTAGACCAAAAAGCTCTATTTTTGTCTCATCAGACCACATGACCTTCTCCCATTCCCTCCTCTGGATCATCCAGATGGTCATTGGCAAACTTCAGACGGGCCTGGACATGCGCTGGCTTGAGCAGGGGGACCTTGCGTGCGCTGCAGGATATTAATCCATGACGGCGTAGTGTGTTACTAATGGTTTTCTTTGAGACTGTGGTCCCAGCTCTCTTCAGGTCATAGACCAGGTCCTGCCGTGTAGTTCTGGGCTGATCCCTCACCTTTATACAGGTAACGAGTTCAAACAGGTGCAGTTAATACAGGTAATGAGTGGAGAACAGGAGGGCTTCTTAAAGAAAAACTAACAGGTCTGTGAGAGCAGGAATTCTTACTGGTTGGTAGGTGATCAAATACTTATGTCATGCAATAAAATGCAAATTATTTATTTAAAAAATCATACAATGTGATTTTCTGGATTTTCGTCTCTCACAGTTGAAGTGTACCTATGATAAAAATTACAGACCTCTACATGCTTTGTAAGTAGGAAAACCTGCAAAATCGGCAGTGTATCAAATACTTGTTCTCCCCACTGTATATAGGCTTTTGCTGGCTGTTCTGGTGACCTCAATGTAGAATAACATTTTATCATAACTACATGATTTGAAGAATAGTTTCACATGCTTTATGTACAGTAGGTGAAATCAGTAGAAAAGATACGCAATGTCATCCTATCATCAATTGTTACTGAGTAGTATCATAGTGTACTGTACTGGCCATACAGACTAGGCGATGTCAATGTGCCCTGGTACTGTATGTCACAGGGCTGGCTAACCAAAACACAGGCTACAAAATACAGTTACATTATCAGTGATGCATGTCATGTATTTATCTATTTGAGAACAAATTAACTTCTTCAGTCCAACCTGGTTGTAAGTAGTCTGCAAGTGTGGCACAAACATTTTTGGCCATGACTGTGCAAGTCAGCAGTTCACATCCAGGTGCTGCGGTTCTGTCCTCATTGTTTCACATCCTGTTGTTGAGTGTGAAAGTACAGGTTAGACATTACTTCCTCTCTCCACAAGTGGCTTCCTCAACTACAGAGGACTATCGTTGTGTTTTGTCCTCTGTATAAAAGTAACTTTGTTTTATGTTTGTTTTTACTGGTATTTTGTTACATTAACATTTTACATACATGGTACTTTTATACACAGTATGACATAACAGAAAAATAGTTTTTTTGATATACACATTAAACATTACATTAGATGTGACAGATTACAGAAAGGCGGAGGAGTGGCTATATAGGTCAAATCTAATTTCATAGCGTTCCAATCTCTAAATATCTCTGTTCCCAAGAAATTTGAGCTCCTGGTTATAGATGTGTCCATAAACCAGATAACACATTTATTTGTTGCTGGGATTTACCGCCCCCCTGCTGCCATGGCGGATGCTATTGGTGCTGTATCTGAGTGTTTAAAGCCTTTTCTGTTTTATGTCCTCGGAGTTGGTCATTTTAGGGGATTTGAAACTGGATTGGCTATCCCCGGCCTCAGATCAATTTTAGAGTATATGCATTGATTTTAAACTTACTCAATTGATATCAAAACACACATGGCTAAATGTGAAAAACCCTGTTAACTCATCATTGATTGATTTAATTCTTACTAGTAACCCCCATAAATGTTTGTCTAGTGGTGTATTTGCATATGATCTGTGATCATTGTCCCATAGTATTAGAGATAAGAAACAGCAAAATACTAATCCTTGTTTAATTAAGAAGATACATTTAAAAAAGTTTTCTCCTCAAGGGTTTTTACATGACGTGATTTAGCTTTTGTCTCCTGTATTCCTTACCCTATAAAAATTATCCTCCATATTTATTTATCTGGCAGATAAATACGTCCCTTTTTAAACAATTCAGAGTCAAAGATTGATCTAACCCTTGGTTTTCTTCTGAGTTATCTGAACTGATTCAGATGCGAAATAAGGCCTGGGCCAAAGCAAGAAAAACTGACTCTGTAGTGGACTGGCAATCTTTCAGACAATTGAGAAACAGATGTACTATCTCGATTTTAAGAAAGCTAAATCAAGCTACTTTTTAAGCTCCATCTTTGACTCTGCTGGTGATCCTTTTTAAATTTTGGAAAACAGTAAATGCACTGAAGCGTACAAGTTCCTCTTCTTCCCTGCCTAAGCAAGTTCTGTCTGACTCTGGCGTAATAACTGAGAAGAATGGGAAAAGTGATGCTTTTAATCATCATTTAATCTCGGCAGGCTTTTTATTTGAGAGAAAGAGTGGTTTAATTGATCATGGTCAGTCAATCGACTAAACATTCTTGCCTAGCTAAAATATTAGAATCCTTGATTAATTCTCAGCTAAAAACGTTCTTATCTTTGAAATGTATTCTAAATGTACATCAGTTGGATTTTAGACCAGGTCGTAGCACTATCTCTGCTGAATCTGGTAATGAATGGTGTGGCTGTTGAACAAGTTGAGGAGACTAAATTACTTGGTATTACCTTAGATTGTGAGCTGTCATGGTCGAAACATATAGATTCAGTGGTTGTAAAGATGGGGAGCAGTTTGTCCATGATAAAGAGATGCTCTGCTTTTTTGACACAACACTCCACAAAGCAAGTCCTGCAGGCTCTAGTTTTATCTTGATTATAGTCCAGTCATATGGTCAAGTGCTGCAAAGAAAGACCTGGTTAATCTGCAGCTGGTCTTGCTCTTCATTGTAATCAGAGGGCTAATATTAATACTATCCATGCCATTCTCTCTTGGCTAAGAGTTGAGGAAAGACTGTGTCACTTCTTGTTTTTAAAAGAAACAATGTGTTGGAAATTCCTAATTGTTTGCGCAGTCACAGGCACTGACACGCACTTACCCCACCAGACATGCCACCAGGGGTCCTTTTCACAGTCCCAAGGTCCAGAGCACCTTACGATCCCACACAGACACTCACCTAATGTTATATTGCTCTTTGGTCTTTTGCACATTCTGCACATCTCATCCAGTGTTATACTATTGTAATATTCTGCACTTAGCCTATTATTGCCTACCCAAATCAAGGAAACGGACAGTATTATACAGAGCCATGAGTGCATGGAACTCCCATCTTATATTGCGCAAGTAAACAGCAAACCTGGTTTAAAACAACAAATAAAACAACTCCTCACGGCACAACGCCTCTCCCCATGTGACCTACTTGTTGTGTGTATGTACTGACATGTACAGTGCATTTGGAAAGTATTCAGACCCCTTGACCTTTTCCACAATTTTGTTACGTTACAGCCTGTTTTTTCCCCTCATCAATCTACACACAAAACCCCATAATGACAAAGCGAAAAGTTTTTTGAAATTTTAGCAAATGTATTAAAAAACCCTCAACTGAAATCACATTTACATACAGTGGGGAAAAAAGTATTTAGTCAGCCACCAATTGTGCAAGTTCTCCCACTTAAAAAGATGAGAGAGGCCTGTAATTTTCATCATAGGTACACGTCAACTATGACAGACAAAATGAGAAAATAAATCCAGAAAATCACATTGTAGGATTTTTAATGAATTTATTTGCAAATTATGGTGGAAAATAAGAATTTGGTCAATAACAAAAGTTTCTCAATACTTTGTTATATACCCTTTGTTGGCAATGACACAGGTCAAACGTTTTCTGTAAGTCTTCACAAGGTTTTCACACACTGTTGCTGGTATTTTGGCCCATTCCTCCATGCAGATCTCCTCTAGAGCAGTGATGTTTTGGGGCTGTCGCTGGGCAACACGGACTTTCAACTCCCTCCAAAGATTTTCTATGGGGTTGAGATCTGGAGACTGGCTAGGCCACTCCAGGACCTTGAAATGCTTCTTACGAAGCCACTCCTTCGTTGCCCGGGCGGTGTGTTTGGGATCATTGTCATGCTGAAAGACCCAGCCATGTTTCATCTTCAATGCCCTTGCTGATGGAAGGAGGTTTTCACTCAAAATCTCACGATACATGGCCCCATTCATTCTTTCCTTTACACGGATCAGTCGTCCTGGTCCCTTTGCAGAAAAACAGCCCCAAAGCATGATGTTTCCACCCCAATGCTTCACAGTAGGTATGGTGTTCTTTGGATGCAACTCAGCATTCTTTGTCCTCCAAACACGACGAGTTGAGTTTTTACCAAAAAGTTATATTTTGGTTTCATCTGACCATATGACATTCTCCCAATCCTCTTCTGGATCATCCAAATGCACTCTAGCAAACTTCAGACGGGCCTGGACATGTACTGGCTTAAGCAGGGGGACACGTCTGGCACTGCAGGATTTGAGTCCCTGGCGGCGTAGTGTGTTACTGATGGTAGGCTTTGTTACTTTGGTCCCAGCTCTCTGCAGGTCATTCACTAGATCCCCTGGTGTGGTTCTGGGATTTTTGCTCACCGTTCTTGTGATCATTTTGACCCCACGGGGTGAGATCTTGCGTGGAGCCCCAGATCGAGGGAGATTATCAGTGGTCTTGTATGTCTTCCATTTCCTAATAATTGCTCCCACAGTTGATTTCTTCAAACCAAGCTGCTTACCTATTGCAGATTCAGTCTTCCCAGCCTGGTGCAGGTCTACAATTTTGTTTCTGGTGTCCTTTGACAGCTCTTTGGTCTTGGCCATAGTGGAGTTTGGAGTGTGAATGTTTGAGGTTGTGGACAGGTGTCTTTTATACTGATAACAAGTTCAAACAGGTGCCATTAATACAGGTAACGAGTGGAGGACAGAGGAGCCTCTTAAAGAAGAAGTTACAGGTCTGTGAGAGCCAGAAATCTTGCTTGTTTGTAGGTGACCAAATACTTAATTCCACCATAATTTGCAAATAAATTCATTAAAAATCCTATTGTTGAAGTCGTGTCGTGATTAAAGCCTAGAATCCTTACATAAGGGTTCAGGTTACTCAGTACTTTGTTGAAGTACCTTTGTCAGTGATTAAAGCCTAGAGTCTTCTTGGGTATGACGCTACAAGCTTGGCATACCTGTATTTGAGGACTTTCTCCTATTCTTCTCTGCAGATCCTCTCAAGCTCTGTCAGGTTGGATGGGAACGTCGCTGCACAGTTATTTTCAGGTCTCTCCAGAGATGTTAGATCGGGTTCAAGTCCGGCCTCTGGCTGGGCCACTCAACGACATTCAGAGACTTGTCCCGAAGCCACTCCTGCGTTCTCTTGGCTGTGTCCTTATGCTTCCTGGTCACCTCCCTGACCAAGGCCTTTCTCCCCTGATTGCTCAGTTTGGCCGGGCGGCCAGCTCTAGGAAGAGTCTTGGTGGTTCCAAACTTCTTCCATTTAACAATGATGAAGGCCACTGTGTTCTTGGAGACCTTCAATGCTGCATAAATGTTTTTGGTACCCTTCCCAAGATCAGTGCCTTGACACAATCCTGTCTCAGAGCTCTACAGACAATTCCTTCGACGTCATGGCTTGGTTTTTGCTCTGACATGCACTGTCAACTGTGGGACCTTATGTAGACAGGTGTGTGCCTTTCCAAAACATGTCCAATCTATTGAATTTACCACAGGTAATCAAGTTATAGAAACATCTCAAGGATGATCAATGGAAACATGATGCACCTGAGCTCAATTTCGAGTGTCATATCGAAGGGTCTGAATACTTATGTAAGTAAGGTCTTTCTGTTTTTTACTTTTAATAATTTTGCAATAATCTCTAAAAACCTGTTTTCGCTTTGTCATTATGGGGTATTGTGTGTATATTGATGAGGAAGTTGTTTTTATTTAATCCATTTTAGAATAATGCTGTAACAAAATGTGGGGGAAGGGGTCTGAATACTTTCCGAATGCACTGTATGTAATTCAGGGCTCATCTATAAAAGAGTACAACTCAGTATTATCCCTGATAAAATAAAAGTTAAATAAAAAAATTACCTCGTACTCTCGACATACCCGGTATACATGATTTAAATAGTGTTTTTTGGTCATAACTATTACAGATCATGAGCTTTATTCCCAGCCCTCAGTTACTCTCAGCCCATCCCACCTATCTCCGTAGACCACCCTCTCTTGATTTCCATTATCCTCTGTACTACTTTAGCAGTAAACTTTGCATCAGATTACTCTTATCATCAAAGGCTAAATCATAATAGCATCAAATAATCAATTAGTAAATTCTATCCCATTTCAGTTCAGGTACCATTTTACTGAGGATTTACCCAGGATTAGGCAACCTGTTTATTCCACAGAGCTACCCTTGTCTGCCCTATCATTCTAAACAATAAGTAACCTTTGACCTATTGTCTGTCTGCTCCCTCAGTGGAGTCAGTGTGTCTTCCCGCAGGGCAGGGCAGCCCATCAGTCCAGGAGGAGGACAGTGTTCAGTTCAGTAAGCTGTCCTACCTGGGCTGTACGTGGGTGAAGGCCCCTCGCAGTGAGCCCGAGGCCCTGAGAGCCATGACTACGCTGCGGGCAGAGAGTGCCGTCCCCATTCCCATCACCCTCCATGTGCCCAATGTACCAGAGGGCTGCGTCAGGTCAGTCATATCGAGACTATAGTATGTGAAATGTGTGTGTGTGTGTGTGTGTGTGGTCTCTGTGGGTAGAGAGAAGCATCTCCATCATGTGACACCCTTTGTGCCCAACGTGCGTCAGATCAGTCATATACACACCAATGTACTGCACCAATGCACTGCAGTGTATATATGAATGTGATATATTTTTTCAGCTCTGGGTCATTTCTCCCTCAGTGGAGTCCGTGTGTCCTCCCGCAGGGCAGCCCTCCAGTCCAGGAGGAGGACAGTGTTCAGTTCAGTAAGCTGTCCTACCTGCTAGAGCGCGATGGGACAAGGAAATCCCGGCCGGCCAAACCCTCCTCTAACCCGGACGACGCTGGGCCAGTTGTGAGCCGCCTCATGGGTCTTCCGGTCACGGCCGGCTATGACACAGCCTGGGAACGAACCCGGGGCTGTAGTGATGCTTCAAGCACTGCGATGCAGTGCCTTAGACCGCTGCGCCACTCGGTAGGCCCCAAATAAATAGTTTTGACGGTATTGAAAAACCATCCAGTGGCTTTTTCCAAATCTCCCGCTATACGGTATATACAGTATACTGCCCAAGATTTCTTGCAACATGTACTTGCTATTGTGTGTATGACTCCTGTCCAAGTCTATGCAACAAGTAGGCTAAACCTTTATTCATCTGAAATGGGACATCATTAATATTGCACCAACAACCAGATTGTCTTCATTGAAGCAAAAGTTGAAAGATTGAATATGCCCATCCTGGCAGTGTCATTTATAGACGTGAGCACCTGCTCTGTGGTTAAAGCAGTTTGACAAATATTTAAACATAGACACAACCACCACACAAGCCTGTAGTTAACCATGGAAAAAAGATAATGACATGAGACTATGAAAATAAACTTTAATGTGTACACTAATAGATATTTCTCTACACCTAACCTTTCAAGTTTACAGAAAGAGAAAATTAAATGATGAACCATGTCTCATTGCGTTTGCCAGATGAGAAGCTCACACGTCGTTTGTGGGAAATAACATGACTGATAACAACAGAGGTAATTAGTGGAGCGTGTTGATGCGCCCTAAGAAAAAGTTGAATTAAAAACACTTAACGTCAGGCCTCCCGAGTGGCGCAGCGGTCTAAGGCACTGCATCGCAGTGCTAGAGGCGTCACTACAGACCCGGGTTCGATCCCAGGCTGTGTCGCAGCCGGCAGAGACCCATGAGGCGGCACACAATTGGCCCAGCATCGTCCGGGGTAGGGGAGTGTCTGGCCGGCCGGGATGTCCTTGTCCCATCGTGCTTTAGCGACTCTAGCGGCTCTTGCGACTAGCGGCTGGCTTCTGGGTTAAGCGAGCAGTGTGTCAAGAAGCAGTGCGGCTTCACGAAATTGGGGAGAAAAAGGGGTAAAAAGTACGAAAATTGACAAATACCCTAACGTCAATGTGTATGAGTCTTAGGTGGCCTAGGCCTAACTAAACAATTTCTAACTCATAACTTACACACCTATGGAGAGTTGAGAGATTTGGATTGTTGCAAGACACATATCAATAGGATTTGCCAGGCTTATGTCTTGAAATCCTCTCCCCTGTCGTCTCCCCTGCCTCAGGATCGTGGACCAGGCGTCAGGCACGGAGATAGCTTCCTTCCCCATCTACAAGGTGCTGTTCTGCTCCCGGGGTCGCGAGGGCTCCATCGAGAGCGACTGCTTCTCCTTCACTGAGAGCTACCGTAGCTCTGAGGATTTCCAGATCCACGTCTTCTCCTGCCATATCAAGGAAGCTGTGAGTCACTTCTATTCTATTGAATTTCATTCTATTCTATTTATTGTTTGGATAATCATTATTGGTACAGCAATATACAGTAATGGAGTAAACATACACTTGATTTGGAGGTAATCAAGATGGCGACCATGAAGTAGTCAGGTGAAGGTGATCCGTTTGGCATTCCCTCTCTTTATTAAAATATGCCTCTTAATAAGGAAAGAACTCTACTCAAAAGTCCCCTGTAGCTCAGTTGGTAGAGCATGGCGCTTGCAACGCCAGGTTTGTGGGTTCGTTTCCCACGGGGGGCCAGTATGAAAAATGTATGCACTCACTAACTGTAAGCCGCTCTGGATAAGAGCGTCTGCTAAATGACAAAAATGTCAATGTAAGAAATAACTGAAATGTTATGTATGCAACTGCATGTTATGGCAAATACTAGATAGAGAAATTAAGATAAACATACACAGCGAAACAACGCGACCAAGTAGCTGCCGACTTGACTAAAGTGAGTTTGTAGACACTACTCACAGAAATTCTCACTGGCAATGAGAAACTGTCACGAGAAGATCTCCAGAAAACCGTGGCTGAACAAAAAGGAATCATACCGGGGCTTACTGAAAGATTAAGCGGGATGGAGGACCTCAGTCGCCGTTCAAGTCTTCGTTTCACGAATTTCCCCAAGAGCTGTGGAGCATCCGGAATGGAGGAATTCCTGGAGGGGGTAATACCACAACTACTGGTCCAGGAGAGCATCACACGGGCTCCCACAATCGAACGAGCGGCCCGAGAGGGGACACAAGCAGCAAACCAAGGGACATCATCGCAAAGTTCCTTAACTATAGGGACAAAGATTAAGTTATACGACAGGTCATCCAAGCCAAAAAGTCAGGAGTCTGACCTTTTTTGTATGAGGTTCATTGGATTTATGTGAACACCGACATGTGCAGAGACCTCTACATGAAACTGAGTGAATTCAACCCAATAAGAAAAAGTTGCATGAAGAACTAATCCCTTTCTCTCTGGTGTACCCCACATAACTACGGGTCAAATGGAAGGAAAGGGACATCTCACTGAATAATCGAATTAGACTCCCAACATACAAATAACTCTATTAGAATGGTACGGGACTACAATACAGTTTTAAGTATGTCAGTGAACCGTGAAGACAATCATACTACTAACTATCACCATCTGGCGCTCAAAGAGATAATGAATATTATGGACACGTTGGATTTGACGACGAGGCTTAAAAACCCGGATCTCGTAAAATATACTTAAGCTAATTGGATTGATTATTTTCTGGTATCCGTTTCTATGGTGCCAAAAGTGAAAAATAATATGGATTTGAAGGTCAAACTGTATTGTTAGGGGATCTGAAAAACCATGATCAGTCAATGGGAAATATCATTATACTCTTGGGTGAAGTATTTATTTTTAGGGCAATATCAGTAGAAGTGTTACAAATAGGGAGGTTCAAGACCCTCGTAAGACATAGTAAAATTATTGCAAAAGGAAATGGCAAAATGGCGTTCTACTGGGAAAGATGGGTTAATCTGTGGACGTCGGAGGGTTGGAGATCAGAATGAATGGGTGAAAATCCAGCACTTGAAGAAAGAGGCAATTAGGATATGTATAATAATTGAACTACCTGTATCGTAGATGTGAGCGAAATATTGTAGATGTAAGTAGAAGTCCGTTAGTTTACTCCAAGTAGGGTAGGGGGAAAGTATAGAAGGAAAAAACATGCAAACAATGAAATTGATAATTGTAGGTTCTATCTGTAATATTAAAGCAGATCTACCATACACTTTATTTTATTTGAATGAATCAAGGATCAATCGGCTGGCTGTCTACCAGCCTTTAAACTTTCAATTCTAACAGACTATAAAGTACAATTCTATTCTCTCTTTTCCCCTCCTCTCCCCCTCTTCCTACAGGTGAGCCGGATCCTGTACAGTTTCTCCACAGCGTTCCGCCGCTCCTCCAAGCCAGCCCCTGACGTGAGGGACTCGGCCCTGCCCCTCTCCCTCGACAGTGACCTCTTCAACTTCACAGTCTCACTGGAGGTGCGGGAGGATGACAGCAAGGGAAACTACAGGTCAGCATGTAGCCACTAAACGCGCACTTATGCATGCTATGGGGTGAAATCACTCACTCACTTTAACAGACCTTTAAGCCAACAACTTACTTTTTGTGTCTTTCCATCTTTATCTTCCCCCGTTCTCCTCTCCTCAGCCCAGTTCCCAAGGACCGGGACAAGTTCTACTTCAAGCTGCGGCAGGGCGTGCAGAAGAAGGTGGTGGTCACGGTCCAGCAGATGAGCAACCAAGAGCTGGGCATTGAGAGGTGAGGGGCTGCTGCCCACTTGATCCTTCTGTAAGGGCTTCTGAGCTGCATACACTAGACGGCACCACTGTCCTATACTGTAGCATGCTGTTCTTGTTATGAACAAGAACACACAACCCCTCTGGTTCATATAGGTAAATACAAGATGGAGACCGTGGGAAAGCTTGACATAAGGAAATATTATACAATAGACAAATATTTTTTTGTGCGATTTGACTTAAATGTATTTTTCATGCACAGTCATTGGAAATGAAACAATGAAGATAAGATTAGCCAACACAAATAGTCATTATAGAATTGCGCAGCGAGGAACCAGAAGAGCGAGTGTCCTCATTTCATGCTAGTCTATGCTGAAGTCATTGTGATGTGTGTTGAGTGTGTTTGTTTACAGTTTTAGACAGTGCAGCAGTTTAGCTAGTTGAATTAAGTCAGGTTTCTCACATAGCCTTCCTTCTTGTCACTCTGTTTTGTGTTTTCTGAAAGGCATTTAATAACCTTTTAGTTACAGTGCATTCGGAAAGTATTCAGACCCCTTGACCGTTTACACATTTTGTACATTACTGCCTTATTCTAAAATGGATTAAATAAAAATCCTCATCAAGTTACACACAATACCCCATAATGACAAAGCAAAAACAGTTTTTTTTGAAATTGTTGCTAATTTATAAAAAGAAAATAAAATAAATAACTTGTCCTACTGAAATTACTCAGCAGTAGCTGATGCATCTGCAGTGTGCACAGTGAGAGTGACCTGATAATCGAAACCTACAAATAGTCTATCTGAGCTGAAGGCTATGTCTAACGGTATCTGCCGGTAAACCATGAGAGAGAATAAATGACCTGATAACGAGAGAAATAGACGCCATAGATTACTAGAATAATCCTATATAAAAGAGTCTGAAATAAACTCTTAAGAGACCTTCCCAAAAGAGACAATGAACGCTTGATCACTAACACTGATCGCCATGTGGGTGTTTAGCAATCCCACCACATGCTAGTATAAACAGCCCATCCAACACGGTGGACACTATAGCAGCCTTGATTAGTCATCGCATAGCTATACGGCGTCAGCTTCCCCACTAATGTCCAGGGTGATAACTTAAAATCTGAGGAAGAAAGGTTAGGATTAGGTAGAAGTATCCATTTAAAATGAGGCTGTACTCCTGTGTGTATATACAGTGCATTCGGAAAGTATTCAGACCCCTTCCCCTTTTCTACATTTTGTTACGTTACAGCCTTATTCTAAAATTGATTAAAAATAAAAATCCTCATCAATCTACACACAGATTCTTTAGCAAATGTATTACAAATAAAAAACAAAAATAGCTTATTTACATGAGTATTCAGACCATTTGCTATGAGACTCGAAATTGAGCTCAGGTGCATCCTGTTTCCATTGATCATCCTTGAGCTGTTTCTACAACTTGATTGGAGTCCACCTGTGGTAGATTCAATTGATTGGACATGATTTGGAAAGGCACACACCTGTCTATATACGGTCCCACAGTTGACAGTGCATGTCAGAGCAAAAACCAAGCCATGAGGTCGAAGGAATTGTCCGTGGAGCTCCGAGACAGGATTGTGTCGAGGCACAGATCTGGGGAAGGGTACGAAAACATTTCTGCAGCATTGAAAGGTCCCCAAGAACACAGTGGCCTCCATCATTCTTAAATGGAAGAAGTTTGGAACCACCAAGACTCTTCCTTAAGCTGGCCGCTTGACAGCCTGTTTGGAGTTTGCCAAAAGGCACCTAAAAGACTCAGACCATGAGAAACACGATTCTCTGGTCTGATGAAACCAAGATTGAACTCTTTGGCCTGAATACCAAGCGTAACATCTGGAGGAAACCTGGCACCATCCCTATGGTGAAGCATGGTGGTGGCAGCATCATGCTGTGGGGATGTTGAGGTAGATATGTACACTGAACAAAAATATAAACGCAATATGTAAATGTTTGTCTGTTTCATGAGATGAAATAAAAGATCCCAGAAATGTTCCATACGCACAAAAAGCTTATTTCTCTGAATTGTTGTGTACAAATTTGTTTACATCCCTTTTAGTGAGCATTTCTACTTTGCCAAGATAATCCATCCACCTGATGTGTGGCATATCAAGAAGCTGATTTAAACAGCATTATCATTACACAGGTGCACCTTGTGCTAGGGACAATAAAAGGCCTCTCTAAAATGTGCAGTTTTGTCACATAACACAATGCCACAAATGTCTGATGTTTTGAGGGAGTGTGCAATTGGCATGCTGACTGCAGGAATGTCCACCAGAGCTGTTGCCAGAGAATGTTATGTTCATTTCTCTGCCATAAGCCGCTTCCAACGTTGTTTTAGAGAATTTGGCAGCACGTCCAACCGGCCTCACAACCGCAGACCACGTGTATGGCGTTGTGTGGGCGAGCGGTTGGCTGATGTAATCGTTGTGAACAGAGTGCCCCATGGTGGTGGTGGTGGGGTTATGGTATGGGCAGGCATTAGCTATGGACAACGAATACAATTTGTTTTTTAGAATGCAATTTCAATACACCGAAATGCTGTGACTAGATCTTGAGGCACATATTTTTTATAAATATTGTCTGTGACCAACAGATGCATATCTGTGTTCCCAGTCATGTGAAATCCATAGATTAGGGCCTAATGAATTGATTTCAATTGACTGATTTCCTCATATGAACTGTAACTCTGTAAAATCTTTGAAATTGTTGCATGTTGCGTTTTATATTTTAGTTCAGTATACATATAAGTAAGGATAAATTTACTAAGTAAAATGATAGACAATAATCAGTAACAGCAGTGCATGTGATGAGTCAAAGGAGTTAGTGCAAAAAGGGTCAATGCAGATTAAAAGTTAACCAATAGTTACTGACTAACTATTTAGCAGTCTTATGGCTTGGGGGTAGAAGCTGTTCAGGGTCCTGTTGGTTCCAGACTTGGTGCATCGGTATGGCTTGCCATGCGGTAGCCGAGAGAACAGTCTATGACTTGGGTGGCAGGAGTCTTTGACAATTTTTAGGGCCTTCCTCTGACACTGCCTGGTATAGAGGTCCTGGATGGCAGTGATGGACTGGGCTGCATGCACTACCCTGTGTAGCGCCTTGTGGTCGGATGCCAAGCCAATGCCATACCAAGCGGTGATGCAGCCAGTAAAGATGCTCTCAATGGTGCAGCTGTAGAACCTTTTGAGGATCTGAGGGCCCATGACAAATCTTTTTGGTGTTGTCGTGCCCTCTTCACAACTGTGTTGGTGTGTATGGACCATGATAATTCCTTAGTGATATGGACACAGAGTAACTTGAAGCTCTCGACCTGCTCCACTGTGGCTGGGGGCGTGCTCAGCCCTCTTTTTCCTGTAGTCCACGTTCAGCTCCTTTGTCTTGCTGACGTTGAGGGAGAGGTTCCTGTCCTGGCACCACACGGCCAGGTCTCTGACGACCTCGTAAACATACTGATGGTGTTGGAGTCGTGCACGGCCACGCAGTCGTGGGTGAACAGGGAGTACAGGAGGGGACTAAGCACGCACCTTTGAGGGGCCCCCCGTGTTGAGGGTCAGCGTGGCAGATGGTGTCATTGCCTACCCTCACCACCTGGGGGCGCCCGTCAGGAAGTCCAGGATCCAGTTGAAGAGGGAGGTGTTCAATCCCAGGGTCCTTAGCTTAGTGATGAGTTTGGAGGGCACTATGGTGTTGAACGCTGAGCTGTAGTCAATGAACAGCATTTTTTTTATTTGTCATTTAGCAGACACTCTTATCCAGAGTGACTTACAGTGGTGAATGCATACATTTTCCATACTGGTTCCCCGTGGGAATCGAACCCACAAGCGCCATGCTCTACCAACTGAGCCACACAGGACCCAAACATTTTGCGAAGCCCATCAAGTCCCTGATTGGTGAACCACTGATCCATTCACAGCTCTTTATGTCTATGGCAAGGTTAGGGATACTCACACACAGTGCTGATAACATACAGTGTTTTCAAACTACATATTTGACACATGTTTACATTGTGCATTTTCATAGTAATTATTATTCAACTTGTCCTCACCTGGGTTTTGAACTCACAACCTCTTGGTTCATGGCATTCAGATCTTCCTGCTACGCCACCATGTCTGTGTTCTCACGTAGGTGTTCCTTTTGTTCAAGTGGGAAAGGGCAGTGTGGAGTGCAATAGAGATTGCATCATCTGTGGATCTGTTGGGGCATTATGCAAATTGGTGTGGGTCCAGGGTGTCCGGGATGATGGCGTTGATGTGAGCCATGACCAGCCTTTTAAAGCATTTAATGGCTACATATGTGAGTGCTACGGGACGATAGTCATTTAGACAGGTTACCATGGCATTCTTGGACACAGGGACTATGGTGGTCTGTTTGAAACATGTAGGTTTTAGACTGGGTAAGGGAGAGGTTGAAAATGTCAGTGAAGACACTTGCCAGGTGGTCAACACATGCTCTGAGTACGCGTCCTGGTAATCCGTCTGGCCCTGCAGCCTTGTGAATAATAGTAGCTTGCACGAGTATATCATGCCTTCTTATTACATCAGTAAGGTCATGTTTATGAAAGGTCAACCTTACGAAGGAGGGAGGGGTGAAATCAAAGCTCTTCAGATGAGTATCTTTATTCTATGGAAGCATAATAAATGGTTTATATTATGAAGTAGTGATTCTCACTGCAACCACTTGATGGCACACCTATCATAAGAAACAGGCACATAGTGGTCTCTGTTTCCAAGTGATATTACCACTGCTTTGCTGTAGTTCAATTTGGATTCTTTGAATGTATAAATAGAGCCATGCATATTCACCCAAACGAGCATTCGACTAGAGTCTACAGGATTCAGAATTGGGTCACTGTGTAACAATATGTACCTGTAGCTTTGCTAATGCCATACTGATGGAGAAACGTTAAATTAAATTTTTGATAATGTGATTTTATTTAATTATATTTTACAGCCACTGAGTCTCTCAGGAAATACCATTTGTCTTTATAATGAAACCAAATGCTGCCGAAACCCAAACTTTGGGTTTTATGAAATGATGAAAGGTGAGTTGCAGTGCCCCCTTTATCCATTGGCCCTGACCTGTGTTCCTGTCCCTCAGGTGTTTTGGGATGTTGCTGAGCCCAGGGCAGAAGGTTCGGAACAGTGACATGCATCTTCTAGACATGGTGAGCAGCAATCTGTGTGGTTTCCTTTATTCACATAACCAGGTTATAGAACAGCACTCAATTTCTATGTACTGAATTGAACTATCGCTATGAGACGTCATTGTGTCTTTTGTTGACTTTAGTGTACTCTTTATTGGACAGGTTGAACAGAGTTGAATTGAAAATCGATTCTTTGGCTTTTGATTGGAATGGCTTTGGTCTTTGAGGCCTGTTGACCATGATTGTATATAATTTCTCAATATTTGTGCCTATGTGAAGGAGTCCATGGGGAAGAGCTTGGATGGAAAGTCATATGTGATCACGGGTACATGGAACCCCAACATGGCTGCCTTCCAAGTGCTGAATGAAGACACACCTAAAGGTGAGAATCATCCCCCAATTGAGAATCATCCCCCAATCCCTCAACCCTGTCACCAGCCTATTTTACTTACGCATGGTATTGTCAACCAGCCTGACACATTAGCATACTGAAGCATGTCATTGTCAACCAGCCTAGCATACTGAAGCATGTCATTGTCAATCAGCCTAACACACCAGCGTACTGAAGATTGTCATTGCCAACCAGCCTAGCTGTCACATTCGTAGCTGGCCAGACAGATTCATATGATTTTATGACTTCATCAATTCTAATGGACCTCTGCCTAATAAGCAGAAAACAACACAAATGAAAGCTCCTATACTATTATATTGTTTATCTTACGATTTTCATCTGAGGAGATGGATAGCTGAGATGGCAAATTAAAGTTTCATTTATGATAATGACAGGGGGAAGGCACTTATTTGCTTCTTTTTATGCCAGGCACTGTTTTCTCCACAGTAGAACAATAATGAGTCGTTAGGATGTCCCCGGGACGTCACAAAACGGTCGCCTGAAGTCGTCAGGACGTTGTAATGGTCCCCTGGAGGTTTTGTGTAGTTCCCGTCGCTTGATGGTCCCAAGAGAACGTTCTCTTGGGGTCCTTTGTGTAGTTCCCTGTAAGTTCCCAGGACATCACTGAGGACCATGTCAGGACCTTTTTAGGACGTTTTCAGGACCATCATGCCACGTCGTAAGGACTAGTAAAATGAAAGTCCTGAGAACGTCCTAAAAAGGTCCTGACATGGTTTTCAGTGACGTCCTGGGAATGTACATGGAACTAGACAAGGGTCCCCAGAGAACGTTCCCTTGGGACTAACACTCGACTTTCTTAGAACCTTCTGATAACGTTGCGCCGAAACCCTTAAGGGACCTAATGGGAACGTCACAGAATGTCCTCAGGATGTCCCATGTTTGCTGGGGAAAGCCTATTAGAATAGCAATATTGTTGTTGTGCTCTATCTAGGATGGGTTTAGAGCGCTAGCAGCGTTCAACCTCAGTGGTTATCAGGGTCAGAGACTGAGGAAAGGGGATGTGGTAGACTTTACTGGTGCTGAGCTTTTCATTTGTGCTAATTGTAGCTAATGGTCCTGTCCAGGTGGTTCCAGACTTGACCTATATAGCTAGCACCTTTTTAAAAATGATTTTATTTTGGCACTCAACCAACACTGGACATTATTTTAAAGGCATTTCAAGTGAAATGATGTAGTTGCCTAAAATTGTGGTAACATTTCTTACTTTGAACAGTCACAAAATAGTCACTGCCTCTAACATTTGATACCACCAATTCCCTACGAGGGCCTGCAAAATAAATAATATATGTCCCAAACCAAATAGGCTGTCTGAAAACGTGGGTGGTTTGGACACCTTTTCATATATTGGGTCCCAGTGTAATGCACAGTAAGATGCTGCCGAGCGGTGCAAGTGCAAGACCTCAACTCAATGAACTCATTATATCAAACAAATTAGCAGCGCTGCTGAGTTGCTGACTCGGAAGTCAGGGGAGTTTGACTTAAACCTATATGGCAGCTTGTCAAAGCAACCCAGCTCAGGGGAGTTAGGTAGTGTAAAGCCACACTTCCTCCACAAAGAAAACAGACCATTCGTGTGAATGATTCCACTCTAGGAGAAAAGGAAGTAGGTAATTACGATAACTGGCTTGCAGAACATGTATGTAAACATTGGATAATAATGTGTTTCTGTATAAATAATAAACCAGAGCCAGAACATTTAGGAATTATCCATATAGATTTTAACTGATTTACTGTAGCTAATGGTTTTTGAAATATGAAGCTATATGCACTGGAAGATTTCCCACAAAACATGAACATAATTTTTTTGTTATACAAAACAGCCTTCTACCATAGACGCAAGGCCATAAACCACACAGCTTACTTCATGTCAAAACTGGGAGAGACTAGACTTCTAAAAACAATGGCCTTAGCGGTCTCAACTAAACAAATCCTTCTTTGTTGTCAGCGATTCGGCACGCAGGAAAAGGTATTCCTGTGGTATCTGAAGCTTGAAGGGATGCCGTTTCCTAAAACATATTTCTAAACCAACATTTTATGCTTGACCTTTATCGTAATTGGAATCTATTTTTAGGCCATTCTTTACAAGGCAGTGTTGAAAACTTTTTTTTTTCTGGTTAATTACAATAATAAAACCTTCTCACTGTGAAATGGGTTATTTTTCCCTCTGTTTCATAGCTCGGCGATTGCTATCTGTTGTTGTTTATTTTTCTCACAATTGTTTTTTGAACGAAAACAATGGGATGTGGCAAGATCTGTTTTCCCAGACGTCACTTTTTCACTTGGATGAAGCTGGGGACACTAGAGGATAGCTTAGATTTACGCTGCACTACATACATATCACACACAGCTTGTCTCATGCTGTGATTTGGAATGCAGTTTCCTTAGATTCTAAATAATTAATAGATATTTAAAGATACTGAGTTTCTTGTTTGTAGTAATAGGATTCTAGTTTTTAAATGGGTCCATAGTCTCTTTCTCTGGGAATGGTGAGGTCAGAGAATAGGTGTGCTGCTGTCACTAGTTTGACAGTTGGTGGCAGTTGTGGGATCCAAGCCCTCTGAGGAAAACACGTTTGGTCTACCTAATAAAAACAGCAGGCAATATATTTTCTCTGTGTTCTATAAACATACAATTTAAAGCAAGTTAATAGCCTACCATTTCACTATATCCACTTAGTGTGTCAACCCGCAACGCCCACTTTTAATCCAGGCAGGTACAGATGCAGTATACATTCTGAAACTGATGTTGGCACTACAAACACGCCCTCCAGTGTGTGACCTTGTCCTCTCTGTGGTGGTCTCTCTCCAGATAAGCAGGTGTACATGACCGTTGCGGTGGACCTGGTGGTGTCTGAGGTGGTGGAGCCGGTGCGCTTCCTGCTGGAGACCCTGGTGCGCGTCTACCCGGCCAATGAACGGTTCTGGTACTTCAGCCGCAAGGCCTTTAGCGAGACCTTCTACCTGAAACTCAAACAGGTAAATAAATGGTCAGTTAATAAATATCCCAAATATCCCAACCTTTACCTCATCATACACGTAATAAATATCCCAACCTTTACCTCATCACACACGTAATAAATATCCCAACCTTTACCTCATCACACATGTAATACATATCCCAACCTTTACCTCATCACACACGTAATACATACAGTGGGGAGAACAAGTATTTGATACACTGCCGATTTTGCAGGTTTTCCTACTTACAAAGCATGTAGAGGTCTGTCATTTTTATCATAGGTACACTTCAACTGTGAGAGATGGAATCTAAAACAAAAATCCAGAAAATCACATTGGATGATTTAAAAAAAAATAATTTGCATTTTATTGCATGACATAAGTATTTGATCACCTACCAACCAGTAAGAATTCCGGCTCTCACAGACCTGTTAGTTTTTCTTTAAGAAGCCCTCCTGTTCTCCACTCATTACCTGTATTAACTGCACCTGTTTGAACTCGTTACCTGTATAAAAGACACCTGTCCACACACTCAATCAAACAGACTCCAACCTCTCCACAATGGCCAAGACAAGAGAGCTGTGTAAGGACATCAGGGATAAAATTGTAGACCTGCACAATGCTGGGATGGGTTACAGGACAATGGGCAAGCAGCTTGGTGAGAAGGCAACAACTGTTGGGGCAATTATTAGAAAATGGAAGAAGTTCACGATGACGGTCAATCACCCTCGGTCTGGGGCTCAATGCAAGATCTCACCTCGTGGGGCATCAATGATCATGAGGAAGGTGAGGGATCAGCCCAGAACTACACGGCAGGACCTGGTCAATGACCTGAAGAGAGCTGGGACCACAGTCTCAAAGAAAACCATTAGTAACATGCTACGCCGTCATGGATAAAAATCCTGCAGCGCACGCAAGGTCCCCCTGCTCAAGCCAGCGCATGTCCAGGCCCGTCTGAAGTTTGCCAATGACCATCTGGATGATCCAGAGGAGGAATGGGAGAAGGTCATGTGGTCTGATGAGACAAAAATAGAGCTTTTTGGTCTAAACTCCACTCGCCGTGTTTGGAGGAAGAAGAAGGATGAGTACAACCCCAAGAACACCATCCCAACCGTGAAGCATGGAGGTGGAAACATCATTCTTTGGGGATGCTTTTCTGCAAAGGGGACAGGACGACTGCACCCTATTGAGGGGAGGATGGATGGGGCCATGTATCGCGAGATCTTGGCCAACAACCTCCTTCCCTCAGTAAGAGCATTGAAGATGGGTCGTGGCTGGGTCTTCCAGCATGACAACGACCCGAAACACACAGCCAGGGCAACTAAGGAGTGGCTCCGTAAGAAGCATCTCAAGGTCCTGGAGTGGCCTAGCCAGTCTCCAGACCTGAACCCAATAGAACATCTTTGGAGGGAGCTGAAAGTCCGTATTGCCCAGCGACAGCCCCGAAACCTGAAGGATCTGGAGAAGGTCTGTATGGAGGAGTGGGCCAAAATACCTGCTGCAGTGTGTGCAAACCTTGTCAAGACCTACAGGAAACGTATGATCTCTGTAATTGCAAACAAAGGTTTCTGTACCAAATATTAAGTTCTGCTTTTCTGATGTATCAAATACTTATGTCATGCAATAAAATGCAAATTAATTACTTAATAATCATACAATGTGATTTTCTGGATTTTTGTTTTAGATTGCGTCTCTCACAGTTGAAGTGTACCTATGATAAAAATGACAGACCTCTACATGCTTTGTAAGTAGGAAAACCTGCAAAATCGGCAGTGTATCAAATACTTGTTCTCCCCACTGTATCCCAACCTTTACCTCATCACACACGTAATACATATCCCAACCTTTACCTCATCAGGACAATACAAAAGGGGATTTTGGTTCTTTATAGGAAGGATGTTGTATGTTCTGCTTACTAGCCCTTAGGGATTTGGACTCAAAAGATTAAAGCAATAGGACGCTTACTTACAACCAAAGTGGAGGTATCTGTCCTATTGTTTTTTTCTGTGTAGTCCTCTATGTTAAGTGAGCATTAGGTGACCCTGGGAAGACACAGGAAACAAAGCCACTTAGAAGTACTCCCCTCTTCATTATCTAATCAGATAGCTACACTACAACCGAGCCTGTCTGTGTACACACACAACCAGGCCTGGAATTTCATGACTTTAGGGGCATGGCCATTTGGCCTTCAAGAGGTGCCCAATCTGCCAGGGCACCAAGGCCATTAACCAAAATAGGCAATTACATTGATTTGAAAACTGGAAAACAGTAGCTATTCTGTTAAGAAAAACAAAAGTGTATGTAAATGTACATGAATAATTAGCCTAAATGTCGAATTGTAGGTGATGGCCTATGCGTATTGTCGACAGTCTGTCATGTCCAGACCTATGCTGACATGAGGCGCCTGAAAATGTAGGCAAACTTTAATGAGAGTTTTAATTTTATATACAGTTGAAGTTGGAAGTTTACATAATGACAGGTTTGAGTCATTAAAACTTGTTTTTCAACCACTCCACAAATTTCTTGTTAACAAACTATAGTTTTGGCAAGTCGGTTAGGACTTCTACTTTGTGCATGACACAAGTAATTTTTCCAACAATTGTTTACAGACAGATTATTTCACTTATAATTCACTGTATCACAATTCCAGTGGGGCAGAAGATTACATACACTAAGTTGACTGTGCCTTTAAACAGCTTGGAAAATTCCAGAAAATGATGTCATGGCTTTAGAAGCTTCTGATAGGCTAATTGACATCATTTGAGTCCCCTGTAGCTCAGTTGGTAGAGCATGGCGTTTGCAACGCCAGGGTTGTGGGTTTGTTTCCCACGGGGGGCCAGTATGAAAAAAATGTATTCACTCACTAACTGTAAGTCGCTCTGGATAAGAGTGTCTGCTAAATGACTAAAATGTAAATTGGAGGTGTACCTGTGGATGTATTTCAAGGCCTACCTTCAAACTCAGTGCATCTTTGCTTGACATCATAGGAAAATCAAAAGAAATCAGCCAAGACCTCAGAATAAAAATTGTAGACCTCCACAAGTCTGGTTCATCCTTGGGAGCAATTTCCAAAACGCCTGAAGGTACCACGTTCATCTGTACAAACAATAGTACGCAGGTATAAACACCATGGGACCACGCAGCCGTCATACCACTCAGGAAGGAGACGTGTTCTGTCTCCTAGAGATGAACGTACTTTGGTGCGAAAAGTGCAAATCAATGCCAGAACAACAGCAAAGGACCTTGTGAAGATGCTGGAGGAAATGGGTACAAAAGTATCTACAGTGGGGAAAAAAAGTATTTAGTCAGCCACCAATTGTGCAAGTTCTCCCACTTAAAAAGATGAGAGAGGCCTGTAATTTTCATCATAGGTACAAGTCAACTATGACAGACAAAATGAGAAAATAAATCCAGAAAATCACATTGTAGGATTATTAATGAATTTATTTGCAAATTATGGTGGAAAATAGGTATTTGGTCAATAACAAAAGTTTCTCAATACTTTGTTATATACCCTTTGTTGGCAATGACACAGGTCAAATGTTTTCTGTAAGTCTTCACAAGGTTTTCACACACTGTTGCTGGTATTTTGGCCCATTCCTCCATGCAGATGTCCTCTAGAGCAGTGATGTTTTGGGGCTGTCGCTGGGCAACACAGACTTTCAACTCCCTCCAAAGATTTTCTATGGGGTTGAGATCTGGAGACTGGCTAGGCCACTCCAGGGCCTTGAAATGCTTCTTACGAAGCCACTCCTTCGTTGCCCGGGCGGTGTGTTTGGGATCATTGTCATGCTGAAAGACCCAGCCACGTTTCATCTTCAATGCCCTTGCTGATGGAAGGAGGTTTTCACTCAAAATCTCACGATACATGGCCCCATTCATTCTTTCCTTTACACGGATCAGTCGTCCTGGTCCCTTTGCAGAAAAACAGCCCCAAAGCATGATGTTTCCACCCCCATGCTTCACAGTAGGTATGGTGTTCTTTGGATGCAACTCAGCATTCTTTGTCCTCCAAACACGACGAGTTGAGTTTTTACCAACAAGTTATATTTTGGTTTAATCTGACCATATGACATTCTCCCAATCCTCTTCTGGATCATCCAAATGCACTCTAGCAAACTTCAGACGGGCCTGGACATGTACTGGCTTAAGCAGGGGGACACGTCTGGCACTGCAGGATTTGAGTCCCTGGCGGCGTAGTGTGTTACTGATGGTAGGCTTTGTTACTTTGGTCCCAGCTCTCTGCAGGTCATTCACTAGGTCCCCCCGTGTGGTTCTGGGATTTTTGCTCACCGTTCTTGTGATCATTTTGACCCCATGGGGTGAGATCTTGCGTGGAGCCCCAGATCGAGGGAGATTATCAGTGGTCTTGTATGTCTTCCATTTCCTAATAATTGCTCCCACAGTTGATTTCTTCAAACCAAGCTGCTTACCTATTGCAGATTCAGTCTTCCCAGCCTGGTGCAGGTCTACAATTTTGTTTCTGGTGTCCTTTGACAGCTCTTTGGTCTTGGCCATAGTGGAATTTGGAGTGTGACTGTTTGAGGTTTTGGACAGGTGTCTTTTATACTGATAACAAGTTCAAACAGGTGCCATTAATACAGGTAACGAGTGGAGGACAGAGGAGCCTATTAAAGAAGTTACAGGTCTGTGTGAGCCAGAAATCTTGCTTGTTTGTAGGTGACCAAATACTTATTTTCCACCATAATTTGCAAATAAATTCATAAAAAATCCTACAATGTGATTTTCTGGATTTTTTTCCCTCAATTTGACTGTCATAGTTGACGTGTACATATGATGAAAATTACAGGCCTCTCATCTTTTTAAGTGGGAGAACCTGCACAATTGGTGAAATACTTTTTTCCCCCACTGTATATCCACAGTAAAACGAGTCCTATATCGTCAAAACCTGAAAGGCCGCTCGGCAAGGAAGAAGCCACTGCTCCAAAACCGCCATAAAAAAGCCAGACTACGGTTTGCAACTGCACATGGGGACAAAGATCGTACTTTTTGAAGAAATGTCCTCTGGTCTGATGAAACAAAAATAGAACTGTTAGCCCATAATGACCATTGTTATGTTTGGAGGAAAAAGGGGAACGCTTGCAAGCCGAAGAACACCATCCCAACCGTGAAGCACGGGGGTGGCAGCATCATGCTGTGGGGGTGCTTTGCTGCAGGAGGGACTGGTGCACTTCACAAAATAGATGGCATCATGAGGAAGGAAAATTATGTGGATATATTGAAGAAACATCTCAAGACATCAGTCAGGAAGTTAAAGCTTGGTCGCAAATGGGTCTTCCAAATGGACAATGTCCCCAAGCATACTTCCAAAGTTGTGGCAAAATGGCTTAAGGACAACAAAGTCAAGGTATTGGAGTGGCCATCACAAAGCCCTGACCTCAATCCTATAGAAAATCTGTGGGCAGAACTGAAAAAGCGTGTGCGAGCAAGGAGGCCTACAAACCTGACTCAGTTACACCATCTCTGTCAGGAGGAATGGGCCAAAATTCACCCAACTTATTGTGGGAAGCTTGTGGAAGGCTACCCGTAACGTTTGACCCAAGTTTAACAATTTAAAGGCAATGCTACCAAATAGTAATTGAGTGTATGTAAACTTCTGACCCATTGGGAATGTGATGAAAGAAATAAAAGCTGAAATAAATCATTCTCTCTACTATTATTCTGACATTTCACATTCTTAAAATAAAGTTGTGATCCTAAGTGATCTAAGACAGTGAATTTTTACTAGGATTAAATGTCAGGAATTGTGAAAAACTGGGTGTAAATGTATTTGGCTAAGGTGTATGTAAACTTCCGACTTCAACTGTGTGTATATACAGTGGGGAGAACAAGTATTTGATACACTGCCGATTTTACAGGTTTTCCTACTTACAAAGCATGTAGAGGTCTGTAATTTTTATCATAGGTACACTTCAACTGTGAGAGACGCAATCTAAAACAAAAATCCAGAAAATCACACTGTATGATTTTTAAGTAATTCATTTGCATTTTATTGCATGACATAAGTATTTGATACATCAGAAAAGCAGAACTTAATATTTGGTACAGAAACCTTTGTCTGCAATTACAGAGATTATACGTTTCCTGTAGGTCTTGACCAGGTTTGCACACACTGCAGCAGGGATTTTGGCCCACTCCTCCATACAGACCTTCTCCAGATCCTTCAGGTTTCGGGGCTGTCGCTGGGCAATACGGACTTTCAGCTCCCTCCAAAAATGTTCTATTGGGTTCAGGTCTGGAGACTGGCTAGGCCACTCCAGGACCTTGAGATTCTTCTTACGGAGCCACTCCTTAGTTGCCCTGGCTGTGTGTTTCGGGTCGTTGTCATGCTGGAAGACCCAGCCACGACTCATCTTCAATGCTCTTACTGAGGGAAGGAGGTTGTTGGCCAAGATCTCGCGATACACGGCCCCATCCATCCTCCCCTCAATATGGTGCAGTCGTCCTGTCCCCTTTGCAGAAAAGCATCCCCAAAGATTGATGTTTCCACCTCCATGCTTCACGGTTGGGATGGTGTTCTTGGGGTTGTACTCATCCTTCTTCTTCCTCCAAACACGGCGAGTGGAGTTTAGACCAAAAAGCTCTATTTTTGTCTCATCAGACCACATGACCTTCTCCCATTCCTCCTCTGGATCATCCAGATGGTCATTGGCAAACTTCAGACGGGCCTGGACATGCGCTGGCTTGAGCAGGGGGACCTTGCGTGCGCTGCAGGATTTTAATCCATGACGGCGTAGTGTGTTACTAATGTTTTTCTTTGAGACTGTGGTCCCAGCTCTCTTCAGGTCATTGACCAGGTCCTGCCGTGTAGTTCTGGGCTGATCCCTCACCTTCCCCATGATCATTGATGCCCCACGAGGTGAGATCTTGCATGGAGCCCCAGACTGAGGATGATTGACCGTCATCTTGAACTTCTTCCATTTTCTAATAATTGCGCCAACAGTTGTTGCCTTCTCATCAAGCTGCTTGCCTATTGTCCTGTAGCCCATCCCAGCCTTGTGCAGGGCTACAATTTTATCCCTGATGTCCTTACACAGCTCTCTGGTCTTGGCCATTGTGGAGAGGTTGGAGTCTGTTTGATTGAGTGTGTGGACAGGTGTCTTTTATACAGGTAACGAGTTCAAACAGGTGCAGTTAATACAGGTAATGAGTGGAGAACAGGAGGGCTTCTTAAAGAAAATCTAACAGGTCTCTGAGAGCCGGAATTCTTACTGGTTGGTAGGTGATCAAATACTTATATCATGCAATAAAATGCAAATTAATTACTTAAAAATCATAGTGTGATTTTCTGGATTTTTGTTTTAGATTCCGTCTCTCACAGTTAAAGTGTACCTATGATAAAAATTACAGACCTCTACATGCTTTGTAAGTAGGAAAACCTGCAAAATCGGCAGTGTATCAAATACTTGTTCTCCCCACTGTATATACAGCTGCGGAACAAATTAAGAGACCACTGCAAAATGATCAGTTTCTCTGGCTTTACTATTTATAGGTATGTGTTTGGGTAAAAATAACATTTTTGTTTTATTCTATAAACTACTGACATTTCTCCCAAATTCCAAATAAAAATATTGTCATTTAGAGCATTTATTTGCAGAAAATGACAACTGGTCAAAATAACAAAAAAGATGCAGTGTTGTCAGACCTCGAATAATGCTAAGAAAATAAAGTTCATGTTCAGAAATGAATATTTGGTGGAATAACCCTGATTTTCAATCATAGCTTTCATGCGTCTTGGCATGCTCTCCACCAGTCTTTCACATTGATGTTGGGTGACTTTATGCCACTCCTGGCGCAAAAATTAAAGCAGCTCGGCTTTGTTTGATGGCTTGTGACCATCCATCTTCCTCTTGATCACATTCCAGAAGTTTTCAATGGGGTTCAGGTCTGGAGATTGGGCTGGCCATGACAGGGTCTTGATCTGGTGGTCCTCCATCCACACCTTGATTGACCTGGCTGTGTGGCATGGTGCATTTCCTGCTGGAAAAACCAATCCTCAGAGTTGGGGAACAATGTCAGAGCAAAAGGAAGCAAGTTTTCTTCCAGGACAACCTTGTTCGTGACTTGATTCATGTGTCCTTCACAAAGACAAATCTGACCGATTCCAGCCTTGCTGAAGCACCCCCAGATCATCACCGATCCTCCACCAAATGTCACAGTGGGTGCGAGACACTGTGGCTTGTAGGCCTCTCCAGGTCTTCGTCTAACCATTAGACGACCAGGTGTTGGGCAAAGCTGAAAATTGGACCTTACTCCAGTCCTCTACGGTCCAATCCTTATGGTCTTTTGCAAACCTCAGCCTGGCTCTTCTTTGCTTCTCATTGATGAAGGGCTTTTTTCTAGCTTTGCACGACTTCAGCCCTGCCCCTAGGAGCCTGTTTCGAACCATCCTCGCCGTGCACTTCACCCCAGCTGCCGTTTGCCATTCTTTTTGTAGGTCACTTGATGTCATCCTACGGTTGTTGAGTGACATTCAAATTAGTTGGCGGTCATCCCGGTCAGTAGAGTTGTTTTCGCCCTCTGCCGGGCTGTAGCTTTGTTGTCCCCAATGTCTGCTGCTTGACCTTGTTCTTATGAACCGCCGTCTTTGAAATTTTAAGGATGGAAGCAACCTGACGCTCACTGTATCCCTCTGCCAGTAAAGCCAGAATTGAACCCTTCTTTTCCTCACTCAACACTTTCCTTTTCAACTCTTTTGGCATGGTCAATAGTTATTTTTTTGATTAATATTACTTTTGAGGTACTATTAGCACTGTTTTTGCCATCCAGCTGGTCCTTATTGCAAGAGGATAGTGATGACCACAGCAGTGGTTTTTATACTTTTCCTCGTTAAAAAAGATTTGGTTCATGTGATCACCTAATCAGTACCTAATTCAGTAGAATGAGGTGTGCCTGTGTTGGAATTCAACAGACACTGGAATGGAATGGCTGTCATACATGTAGGTTTAGGAAAAATTTGCAGTGGCCTCTTAATTTTTTTCCACAGCTGTATATGTATGTGTGTGATGTATGTATGTATGTATGTATGTATGTATGTATGTATGTATGTATGTATGTATGTATGTATGTATGTATGTATGTATGTATGTATGTATGTATGTATGTATGTATGTATGTATGTATGTATGTATGTATGTATGTATGTATGTATGTATGTATGTATGTATGTATGTATGTATGTATGTATGTATGTATGTATGTATGTATGTATGTATGTATGTATGTATGTATGTATGTATGTATGTATGTATGTATGTATGTAGTATGTATGTATGTATGTATGTATGTATGTATGTATGTATGTATGTATGTATGTATGTATGTATGTATGTATGTATGTATGTATGTATGTATGTATGTATGTATGTATGTATGTATGTATGTATGTATGTATGTATGTATGTATGTATGTATGTATGTATGTATGTAGGTATGTATGTATGTATGTATGTATGTATGTATGTATGTATGTATGTATGTATGTATGTATGTATGTATGTATGTATGTATGTATGTATGTATGTATGTATGTATGTATGTATGTATGTATGTATGTATGTATGTATGTATGTATGTATGTATGTATGTATGTATGTATGTATGTATGTATGTATGTATGTATGTATGTATGTATGTATGTATGTATGTATGTATGTATGTATGTATGTATGTATGTATGTATGTATGTATGTATGTATGTATGTATGTATGTATGTCTGTATGTATGTATGTATGTCTGTTATGTATGATGTATGTAGTATTGTGCTTTATGTATGTATGTTATGTTTGTCTGTATGTATGTCTGTATTTTGTATTCTGTCTTGTTGTATGTCTGTCTGTCTGTCTGTCTGGTCTTTGTTGTCTTATGTCTGTCTGTCTGTCTGTTGTTATGTCTGTCTGTCTGTCTGTACTGTATGTCTGTTGTCTGTCTGTCTGTTGTCTGTCTTGTCTGTCTGTCTGTCTGTCTGTCTGTTTGTCTGTGTCTGTCTGTTGTCTGTATGTCTGTCTGTTGTCTGTCTGTATGTATGTATGTATGTATGATGTCTGTATGTATGTATGTATGTATGTATGTATGTATTGTCACACCAGTCAAAAGTTTGGACACCACCTATCATTCCAGGGTTTTTCTTATTTATTATATTTTTTACATGTAGAATAAAGTGAAGACATCAAAAACTATGAAATAACACACATGGAATCATGTAGTAACCAAATAAGTGTTAAACAAATCAAAATATATTTTATATTTGAGATTCTTATAATAGCCACCCTTTGGCTTGATGACAGCTTTGCACACTCTTGGCATTCTCTCAACCAGCTTCATGAGGTATTCACCTGGGATGCATTTCAATTAACAGATGTGCCTTAAAAGTTAATTTGTGGAATTTCTTTCCTTTTTAATGCGTTTGAGCCAATCAGTTTTATTGTGACAAGGTAGGGGGGGTATACAGAAGATTGCCCTATTTGGTAAAAGACCAAGTCCATATTATGGCAAGAACAGCTCAAATAAGCAAAGAGAAACGACAGTCCATCATTACTTTAAGACATGAAGGTCAGTCAATACGGAATATTTCAAGAACTTTGAAAGTTTCTTCAATTGCAGTCGCAAAAACCATCAAGCGCTATGATGAAACTGGCTCTCATGAGGACTGCCACAGGAAAGGAAGACCCAGAGTTACCTCTGCTGCAGAGGACAAGTTCATTAGAGTTAACTGCACCTCATATTGAAGCCCAAATAAATGCTTCACAGAGTTCAAGTCACAGACACATCTCAACGTCAACTGTTCAGAGGGGACTCTGTGAATCAGGCCTTCATGGTCGAATTGCTGCAAATAATCCACTACTAAAGGACACCAATGATAAGAAGAGACCTGCTTGGGCCAAGAAACACGAACAATGGACATTAGACTGGTGGAAAGTTGTCCTTTGCTCTGGAGTCCAAATTTGAGATTTTTGGTTCCAACCGCCATGTCTTTGTGAGACGCGTTGTGAGTGAACGCATGTGTAGTTCCCACCGTAAAGCATGGAGGAGGAGGTGTTATGGTGTGGGGGTGCTTTGCTATTGACACTGTCTGTGATTTATTTAGAATTCAAGGCGCACTTAACCAGCATTGCTACTACTGCATTCTGCAGTGATACGCCATCCCATCTGGTTTGGGCTTAGTGGGACTATCATTTGTTTTTCAACAGGACAATGACCCAACACACCTCTAGGCTGTGTAAGGGCTATTTTACCAAGAAGGAGAGTGATGGAGTGCTGCATCAGATGACCTGGCCTCCACAATCCCCTGACCTCAACCCAATTGAGACAGTTTGGGATGAGTCGGACAGCATATGTGGGAACTCCTTCAAGACTGTTGGAAAAGCATTCCAGGTGAAGCTGGTTGAGAGAATGCCAAGAGTGTGCAAAGCTGTCATCAAGGCAAGGGTGGCTATTTGAAGAATCTCAAATATAACATATAATTTGATTAGTTTAACACTTTTTTTTTGGATACTACATGATTCCTTATGTGTTATTTCATAGTTTTGGTGTCTTCACTATTATTCTACAATTTATCAAATAGTAAAAATAAAGAAAAACCCTTGAATGAGTAGGTGTGTCCAAACTTTTGACTGGTACTATGTACAGTATCTGGTACTATATACAGTATCCCCTCAAAATAACTCAACATACAGCCATTAATGTCTAAACCACTGGCAACAAAAGTGAGTACACCCCTAAGTGAAAATGTCCAAATTGGGCCCAATTAGCCATTTTCCCTCCCAGGTGTCATGTGACTCGTTAGTGTTACAAGGTCTCAGGTGTGAATGGGGAGCAGGTGTGTTAAATGTGGTGTCATCGCTCTCACACTCCCTCATACTGGTCACTGGAATTTCAACATGGCACCTCATGGCAAAGAACTCTCTGAGGATCTGAAAAAAAGAATTGTTGCTCTACATAAAGATGGCCTGGGCTATAAGAAGATTGCCAAGACCCTGAAACTGAGCTGCAGCACGATGGCCAAGACCATACAGCGGTTTAACAGGACAGGTTCCACTCAGAACAGGCCTCGCCATGGTCGAACCAAAGAAGTTGAGTGTACGTGCTCAGCGTCATATCCAGAGGTTGTCTTTGGGAAATAGACGTATGAGTGCTGCCAGCATTGCTGCAGAGGTTGAAGGGGTGGGGGGTCAGCCTGTCAGTGCTCAGACCATATGCTGCACACTGTATCAAATTGGTCTGCATGGCTGTCGTCCCAGAAGGAAGCCTCTTCTAAAGATGATGCACAAGAAAGCCTGCAAACAGTTTGCTGAAGACAAGCAAACTAAGGACATGGATTACTGGAACCATGTCCTGTGGTCTGATGAGACCAAGACAAACTTATTTTGTTCAGATGGTGTCAAGTGTGTGGCGGCAACCAGGTGAGAGTACAAAGACAAGTGTGTCTTGCCTACAGTCAAGCATGGTGGTGGGAGTGTCATGGTCTGGGGCTGCATGAGTGCTGCCGGCACTGGGGAGCTACAGTTCATTGAGGGAACTATGAATGCCAACATATACTAAAGCAGAGCATGATCCCCTCCCTTTGGAGACTGGGCCGCAGGGCAGTATTCCAGCATGATAACGACCCCAAACACACCTCCAAGACGACCACTGCCTTGCTAAAGAAGCTGAGGGTAAAGGTGATGGACTGGCCAAGCATGTCTCCAGACCTAAACCCTATTGAGCATCTGTGGGGCATCCTCAAACGGAAGGTGGAGGAGTGCAAGGTCTCTAACATCCACCAGCTCCGTGATGTCGTCATGGAGGAGTGGAAGAGGACTCCAGTGGCAACCTGTGAAGCTCTGGTGAACTCCATGCCCAAGAGGGTTAAGGCAGTGCTGGAAAATTATGGGGATTTGTTGCCAGCGGTTTAGACATGAATGGCTGTGAGTTGAGTTATTTTGAGGGGACAGCAAATGTACACTGTTATACAAGCTGTACACTCAATACTTTACATTGCAGCAAAGTGTCATTTCTTCAGTGTTGTCACATGAAAAGATATACTCAAATATTTAAGGGGTGTACTCACTTTTGTGAGATACTCTGTATATATATGCTAAATGGCTGTCATGTTTGACAAATCTAATGTAGGATCATTATTAATATCTAAAGGCTTGATTCTGTCGACATACTTGAGGCACTGTTTGTTCAGATAGGAGAGAAAGGCACTACAATGTTACCAACCTTGCAATCTGAGCGGAGGCAGTCAAGATTTTGAAAGTATTTAACCGTAAAGAAAATTGTTTAAAACCTGGATGTTTTTTGTCATTTTATGAGACATGTCTTACCTTGTTCTGACCATAGGAATGTTAAGGGGATTATTTTATAAACACTTCTTCATAGTCATATGCAATTGAAACAAGTATTTCGCTCATGTTCTCAACTTTCTTTCATTGTCCAGCAGCCAAAGACACAATCCTAGTCACCGATTGCATTTGCAGTGCACTTTTGAGAAGTGTTTTTCCGCTAATTGCATTTTTGAACATTCACGTTTATAGCCTACTGCAGTGTGCGCATTACTGCACTTATAATGTGAAGAAATGGCCTATTAGTTTATAAACGTTTTCAATTAGCGGGAAAACATCGGATAGTAGATTGACATAGTCTAGTGCTTTTGCTGTTCGTTACTCATCTTGTTGGCTGACTAAAAGTAAATGTGGACAGTTCTTACATCTTCAATATGCGAATTCGATAAGGACGAGCGCCGTTGAATCCCCGATGTGTTCGTCTTCACTTGTAGCCGACTTCGGAGCTGCGATGCCTGTAAAAAGGACACGATCACATGACGGGCATTGGCTAATAAGAATTGAGATATCTGAGAGAGTCGTGAGTGAGCGGTGCTTCGGCGCAAGGCAATTGGCAGCCGGGAGAAGGGAATTATAATTATTATATTCAGCCCAAGGGCACAACGGTCACCTTGGCCGAAATTGCATGGATTTTTTTAGGGGCATTACGGCAACACAAGGGGGCATCGACGGCCATGACTGTCAATGCTGCCTGGAAATTCGAGGCCTGCACTTAACCACACCCAATCCATTTGGGCCGTGCCCCCCCCCACCCCTCCGAACTCCTCCAATTAAAATGCATGAGAGCGACGTTGTTCTCGAAGCATTCAATTACCGCATCCAGCACACAAGTGCATCCCCGTCCGGTCCTTCCGCAGGTGTTTATAAAACCAAAACAAGCCCCTAAGTTGGAAACATAAGCCCCTTGCCCCCTTGTTTGAAAGGCAAATCTCCTCTCCACTCTGCTTCGGGGAGCCTGCAAGGCAGCAAAAGGAGGCTTTGGCTGCGTCCCAAATGGCAGCCTGTTCCCTATATAGGGCCCTGGTCAAAAAAGTGCACTATATAGGGAATAGGCTGCCATTTGGGACGTAGCCTTTGTATCATTGGGAGCTCTAATACGAGGCAGCCACTCATTATCACACTGTAGTAATTAGGGCCCTGCCTGAGTGCCTCTCTCTCTAGTTGTCTCATCAGCAGGCAGGAAAGAATGGCAGCTGCTGTAGTTAAAAGTTAATTAAAAGATAACCATTCTAGTGTTTACACGTGATTCTAATCCCAGCCACTAGCTCCAGTATTATTTGAGTACGATTTGTATTTGTTCCGGGGGCCTCTCATTAAGGCGTTGAGGAATTAGAGGAGTCATTGTTGTCGCCCTCTCTGAACATATTTTGTTCCTTGCCTCACGAGGAAATAGAAGGGTTTGGTGATTTGTTAGTGGAGGGTCCTACACAAGGGCTAAGTGGTATTATTGCAAACATTGCTTATTGTGACCCCCTTATTTGTGCTACCTTAATCTTAGTAAATGCCAATGTTGTCGTATATGTCATGTATGACTGTTGATAGCACTAGCCAGCTATGTTAATGTATTACCTATAAATGTGTTAGATGTATAGTCTTCAAATATGGCCATTGCGCTAAAATGTTAGCTTGGATCCACACGTGCTCACAGAGCAAGGGCTACATGTATAGTCCTTATATAGGGCCCTTGCGTTAGTGTTATCTTGGATCCACCTCTCACCACAAGTGCTGAGACCAAATAACCCCAGTAGCAACAACAGTGATACAAAACCCCCAATGTGCAATGTGACAAAGCCCAACTTTAGAAGTGACCTGCATAGGTGAGTGAGCCCAATCTCTCTGTGCTCTGATTGCAGCAGGCTCCCTGTGAACCCTATTACCAGACACTCTGGCCAAAACACGTCTGGTGCGATCCTTGGCGCAATCTGCCGCAGCTCGATTTAATTTCCTCCTGTACGTGTAATTATATTTTTCAGGCGTTCCCCTCGGGTGGTGGCAAAGGTGAGGCTAACTTTAGACAGTTTGTTTCAAAGGGAGGCACTCTGAAAATATTGAGGATACCCAAAGAGAGACTGTTGCAACAGCTCTCACTCTGAACAAATTCTTATTTTTTTCAGCATGTAGAATTGGCTCGTCAATGCTTCTGCGTTAGTAATAAGCTATGTATCACTCTGTGTTTCTTGGTATTGTGTCAAAATGAATCCTCCCACTGTATTATGTCTGCACCATATGTGACTTCGGTGTGTGTGTGTGTGTGTGTGTGTGTGTGTAGGGTGGTGAGAAGGGTGGCCAGGGTGATGCCATGTTGGAGGTGGTGAGCCTGCAGAGGGAGACTGAGAGGAGCAACGGGGGACGCGGCCGCCTGGCCTCTCCGGCTGAGGAAGAGGAGCCTGAGGAAGGTATAGAACTCTCCCTCTCTCTCTGTTTTAATCCTCTCTCCCCTCGTATCTCTCTCTTTCCATCTCTGACCTTCTCTTTTTCTCTCTTAAACCTCTCGCACTCTCTATCCATCGATCCATCCATCCATATACGTTGCCCTGAAGACTTATTAAGATTGCGTTGTTGTTGATTTGTTGGCTAGCCTTTCAATCACATTCCAAGGTCAACATCAGAACTTGCACAGCTCCCCAGGTAAAATGCCTTGGAACATTGAATTCCATCCGCCTCGGCACATTGAATTCCATCCGCCTCAGTCACACGGACGACATAATTGTATTACCTAATATCGCTTGATTGAAAAATACACTACACCCACCCCCGAAATGCTGGAAAACTTGCTATGTTCAATTTCAAAGAAAAACGACCTGAGTCTTGGAGCTTACTTAGATTGCCTTTAGAAAGAGTGTGTACAAGGTGAGAGAGAAAAAGAAATAGATTGCTTTGGCACAAATGGCTTGTTGGAGGAGCATTTGTTTTATTTATATATTTCGGGCAATTGTTTCTCCTCGGTGGCGGGAACACCTCATACAAATGAGATCATCTGTCCAGATATTCCCCCTGAATTGAACGTTATCAACACGTTGGCTCACTTTGCATTTTCCTGAGGCTCGCCCCCCTCCTCGTATTTGGCGGCCATGAATCAACTGTGAAGTTTAATTTAGTTTGGGGGTGTGTGTGTGTGAACCGCTGTGAGGGGGAGGTGTTGCCAGGCGTGTTTGTGTGGGTGAACGTTTGTGTGTGTTTGCGCTTTTGTGTCTGTGTGTTTCAGAGGCGTGACTGTGTGTGTGTACAATGTGTGTGTCTCAGACAGTGGGGAGGTTTTTTTTGGGCGGCGAGCGAGGCTGAGGCGAGACTGAGACTTCCAGAGGCTTTGGATGGGTTCTGGAGGGCTCACTGTTTTCACTGGAGCACAGTCCAATCCAGTTAAGTGGGGTTGGCTCATTGGTACCGCCGCACTGCTGCTGTGGCATAAGACCACCTGGTACCCATCTCGCCCTCCCTCCCCCTGGCTCTCCCTGCCTGGCTTGACTCAACACTACACAGCTCTGGAAGGAACACACTGCCTGCCACTGGTTTACTTACCGAAAGGATTTCACTGCTCATTTTAGGAATGATCATTGTGTTTTCCTATTTCCACCATCCTATTGAAAATATGAATATTGAATGAGTAAGGTTTTTAGTTGGGAAACTTAGGTCATATTGCAGTCAGATGCAAATAGAGGAGTAAGAAAACCAAGGGTTTTACATGGCATAGATACAGGACACGAAATGCATCCTCAGACTTTTAATGACTAGTGAAAGTAAACAAACATAAACAAACCCCCTTCTTATTACAGGACTCTGTAAGTACACTGCGTACATATCAAACCAGAGCCGCCAGAAAATGTGTAGCGAGCTGTCATTTCCCCCAGTACTTTTCAATCTGGCGTGGCGCCGCCACATTACTTTCAAAGCAGCAGCACAGAACACGTTTACCAGACATATTCATTAGTTAATGTAATAGAAAAACTTAGAAAAAAACAAGGATTTCTCTGCAGATCCTCTCAAGCTCTGTCAGGTTGGATGGGGGACCTGCACAGCAATTTTCAGGTCTCTCCAGAGATGTCGGGTTCAAGTCCGGGCTCTTGCTGGGCCACTCAAGGACATTCAGAGACTTGTCCCGAGGCCACTCCTGTGTTGTTTTGGCTGTGTGCTTAGGGTCGTTGTCCTGTTGGAAGGTGAACCTTCGGCCCCAGTCTAAGGTCCTGAGTGCTCTGGAGCAGGTTTTCATCAAGGATCTCTCTGTACTTTGCTCCGTTAATCTTTGCTTCGATCCTGCCTAGTCTCCCAGTCCCTGCCGCTGAAAAACATCCCCACAGCATGATGCTTCCACCACCATGCTTCACAGTAGGGATGGTGCCAGGTTTCCTCCAGATGTGACGCTTGGCATTCAGGCCAAAGAGTTCAATCTTGGTTTCATCAGACAAGAGAATCTTGTTTCTCATGGTCTGAGTCTTTAGGTGCCTTTTGGCAAACTGTCATGTGCCTTTTACTGAGGAGTGGCTTCTGTCTGGCCACTCTACCATAAAGGCCTGATTGGTGGAGTGCTGCAGAGATAGCTGTCCTTCTGGAAGGTTCTCCCATCTCCACAGAAGAACTCTAGAGCTCTGTAAGAGTGACCATCGGATTCTTGGTCACCTCCCTGACCAAGGCCCTTCTCCCCCGATTGCTCAGTTTGGCCGGACGGCCAACTCTTGGAAGAGTCTTGGTGGTTCCAAATTTCTTCCATTTAAGAATAATGGAGGCCACTGTGTTCTTGGAGATTTTCAATTCTGCAGACATTTTTTGGTACCCTTCCCCAGATCTGTGCCTCTCTCAACCAGCTTCATGAGGTAGTCACCTGCATTTCAATTAACAGGTGTGCCTTATGTTAATTTATGGAATTTCTTTCCTCCTTAATGCGTTTGAGCCAATCAGTTGTATTGTGACAAGGTAGGGGGGGTATACAGAAGATTGCCCTATTTGTTAAAAGACCAAGTCCATATTATGGCAAGAACAGCTCAAAATTAGCAAAGAGAAACGACAGTCCATCATTACTTTAAGACATGAAGGTCAGTCAATGCGTAACATTTCAAGAACTTTGAAAGTTTCTTCAAGTGCAGTCGCAAAAACCATCAAGCGCTATGATGAAACTGGCTCTCATGAGGACCACCACAGGAATGGAAGACCCAGAGTTACCTTTGCTGCAGAGGATAAGTTCATTAGAGATACCAGCCTCAGAAATTGCAGCCCAAATAAATGCTTCACAGAGTTCAAGTAACAGACATCTCAACGTCAACTGTTCAGAGGGGACTGTGTGAATCAGGCCTTCATGGTCGAACTGCTGCAAAGAAACCACTATTAAAGGACACCAATAATAAGAAGAGACCTGTTTGGGCCAAGAAACACGAGCAATGGACATTAGACCAGTGGAAATGTGTCCTTTGGTCTGGAGTCCAAATTTGAGATTTTTGGTTCCAACCGCTGTGTCTTTGTGAGACGTGGTGTGGGTGAACGGATGTGTATTTCCCACTGTAAAGCATGGAGGAGGAGGTGTTATGGTGTGGGGGTGCTTTGCTGGTGACACTGTCTGTGATTTATTTAGAATTCAAGGCACACTTAACCATCATGGCTACCACAGCATTCTACAGCGATACGCCATTCCGTCTGGTTTGGGCTTAGTGGTACTATCATTTGTTTTTCAACAGAACAATGACCCAACACACCTCCAGGCTGTGTAAGGGCTATTTTACCAAGAAGGAGAGTGATGGAGTGCTGCATCAGATGACCTGGCCTCCACAATCCCCTGACCTCAACCCAATTGAGATGGTTTGGGATGAGTCAGACAGCAGAGTGAAGAAAAATCAGCCAACAAGTGCTCAGCATATGTGGGAACTCCTTCAAGACTGTTGGAAAAGCATTCCAGGTGAAGCTGGTTGAGAGAATGCCAAGAGTGTGTAAAGCTGTCATCAAGGTAAAGGGTGGCTATTTGGTTACTACATGATTCCATATGTGTTATTTCATAGTTTTGATGTCTTCACTATTCTACAATGTAAAAAAATAGTAAAAATTAAGAAAAACCCTTGAATGAGTAGGTGTGTCCAAACTTTTGACTGGTAGTGTATGTTAAAGATATTTACGTTTTTTTATTTTTAAGAAATATGCAAAAAATAAATCTAAACCTGTTTTCGCTTTGTCACTATGGGGTATTGTTTGTAGATTGCTGAGGATAAAAAAAAACATTTTAGAATAAGGCTGTAACGTCACAAAATGTGGAAAAAGTCAATGGGTCTGAATACTTTCCGAAGGCACTGTAAACGCAACACGATTGCCTTAAAGTGAACTCAAGCTACTTTTTGATATGCCTGACTGAATTTGGAATAGAAAAGACATACATGGTTATATAATAGAAGACATTGTACAGAGAGCAGACCATACAGTCGACTGCTGCAGAGTGGCACAGCTCAGCCATGACATCAAAAAACATGTGCATGTTTTACTAAAACCCAAACGCAAAACGCGACTAAACGTTAGCTACGTACCCACCTTATCTAAATAGCAAAAAACATGCAGTATTACTAAAACCCAAATGCAAAACCACAACTAAATGTTAGCTACGTACCCACCTCATCTAAATAGCCTAATGTCCTACTGAAATTGCTCAGCAGTAGCTGATGCATCTGCAGTGTGCACAGTGAGAGTGACCTGATAATCGAAACCTACAAATAGTCTATCTGAGCTGAAGGCTATGTCTAACGGTATCTGCCAGTAAGCCATGAGAGAGAATAAATGACCTGATAACGAGAGAAATAGACGCCATAGATTACTAGAATAATCTTATATAAAAGAGTCTGAAATAAACTCTTAAGAGACCTTCCCAAAAGAGACAATGAACGCTTGATCACTAACACTGATCGCCATGTGGGTGTTTAGCAATCCCACCACATGCTAGTATAAACAGCCCATCCAACACGGTGGACACTATAGCAGCCTTGATTAGTCATCGCATAGCTATACGACGTCAGCTTCCCCACTAATGTCCAGGGTGATAACTTAAAATCTGAGGAAGAAAGGTTAGGATTAGGTAGAAGTATCCATTTAAAATGAGGCTGTGAATATACAGTGCATTCGGAAAGTATTCAGACCCCTTCCCCTTTTCTACATTTTGTTACGTTAAAGCCTTATTCTAAAATGGATTTTTTTTGTTAATAATCCTCATCAATCTACACACAGATTCTTTAGCAAATGTATTACAAATAAAATACAGATACCTTATTTACATAAGTATTCAGACCCTTTGCTGTGAGACTCAAAATTGAGCTCAGGTGCATCCTGTTTCCATTAATCATCTTTGAGATGTTTCTACAACTTGATTGGAGTCCACCTGCGGTAAATTCAATTGCTTGGACATGATTTGGAAAGGCACACACCTGTCTATATAAGGTCCCACAGTTGACAGTGCATGTCAGAGCAAAACCAAGCCATGAGATCGAAGGAATTGTCCGTAGAGCTCCGAGACAGGATTGTCGAGGCACAGATCTGGGGAAGGTTGCAAAAACAATTATGCAGGGTATAAGATGCCTGCTTACGCACTATGTACAAACATGTATGAGAAAGCACATAACCTTGCTTACTACTATCCTGAAGGTATGTGCCATTGTACTGCAAAGGTCCAGCAGATGCTGTGGAAGGGATAGCTAGTGTTGCCCTCTAAGTCACCACAACCTCACTGTGTGTTCTTGCAATAATAGCACTCATGCCATAACGACTGTGCAGATGATACAGAACATAACAGCCAAAGCATGAATAAACATAACATCCACCTTGGTGACGTATACGGCGCCTAACCAGCACGTGCTCCCACGATGCAATATTGGCAGCCATGCCATTATCCATAATGTGTGTAGAAAATAAAGAAAATAATATCAGCCAACACCTGAATGCAAGCATTCACCACAGCATTGAGTTGCAGCCTTAACACATAATATAACTAATATGTACGACATGGAAATAACAAAATGCAAGCAGAAAATAATTAATACCGGTACTAATACATGACTAGAATGACGTGATCGCTAAAATAGCATATGATAGAATAAGACCAGTCCCTAGAAAAACTACTACAATGCGAGATGGACTGACAGGGAGTACCACCTATGTAGAATGCATGACACATGATTAGACATGCTAAAAAACAGTCTAAACCTACTGCTGCAAATAAGAATGAGGTAAATATAACTACATTGACTGAAATGATACTGTAATTGCATGCTAATAGTGTGACTCCTGTATTAGTATGCCCTGTTGAACATAGATACTCTGATTGCTCAGAGCAGAA